TGGATAGCTGTGTTTAAAACAAACCAGCTTGTTACAGTACATTACCATTGTAGCACCACTTTAACACATCTTAAAAGCATTCACTTGTTTAAATTGCTCACCACATCCCAGGAGATTTTAAAGCCCATATAAAGCTGCCTCATGCTACTACAAAACAGGGCTCTGCTTTTGGGTAGCAATCGTTACCTATCAACAGCAAAGCTGCATCCATTACTGCTGCACCGTTCAGCATGGTAGCCATCAAAATATCGTGGCCAGGGCAATCCACAAAAGAGACATGCCTGTTGCAGGAGAAGGTGAAAGAGAGATCCAAAAGCCCATTACCAACAATTCCTCTGACTGATTTATATCAGTGATTAGCCAGACACAGAAGTATCCTTAAAATAGTATTTTCAAAAAAGTTCGGAAAGAACACAAATGCTACTAAACAGCTACTGGATACTTTTTCTGAGTTTTCAGATTTAATTCCACATGTCCACATTAAGTACCTCTTTAATATTTCACCAATTTACTCTAAACTAGATTAAATGCACCAGGATAAAAGCCCAAAATCAAACCAACCCACCACCACTAACCCAAACCCCAACATACCACATGGGATTTCTCTTAACTCTTTTAAAAGGCACCTCCCATTCCTCATTTTTAGGAAACTATGCATCTTTAATTATATGGTTATAACTGCACTTCAAATATTTGTCTACAGACATGATGTTACATTTCCAACCTTATGGTTTTACTGTGCAGACTAAGACAGTTGATTCACTATATTCTTTCCTGAACCTATCTAGTGAAGAATCCTTGTTCTTAGTGGCAGGCCATCAAAAAGCAAGGGACTAATGTGGTGCTTTGCTGATGATGTTAGGAATCTCCTACAAGCAAGTAACCAGTAGAATAAAGAATGCAAAGCTTTTAACCAGTTGTTTCACAATGACTGCCTGCCTGCCACACTCCAACAGAAATTAGTACAAGTGCTCTGCTGGAGTCTGACAAAAGGAAAGACATATGGTTACAGCCCCACATGTACTGTATCATAAACATAAATTAAGAATCTTGTACAACATTCTTCATGACTACTCTCATTTGAGCAATCATTGTGCAGAACCACATAAGCACTGCATAAAAACTGTGCTACACTTTACCAGAAATCAAGTAAATAAAGAACATCTGGCCTCCAGTGAGAGGCCTGATCTCACATTAGGCATCAGACTTTCATATATTCATTTAAAAAACTTTGGAAACTCTGCCTTTAGGAAGAAAAAGTTCAACAAAGATCACCTTCCAAAAGAGATTTTAAAGATGTGTTTGTGAGGTCCACATTAGCTCTCAATCTGCCTGGTTTAAAATGTACTTGTATTAATAGCAGAAATATTTAACTTCAAAGTCCTGCAAGTAGCTGAGACCAGCAGACACAGCTGTGCTGTACCATGGAGTGCTCACCACCACAATGAATTCAGTTTAGACAATGCCTCAGCCCAGGGTGCCCCATCTAAGAATGTACAGTCTGCCAGAACCCGTTCAGCTCACAGCTCAATCCTGTTTTCATACAAAGGCAAGTAAACACCATTTATTCCAGTAATTTAAAGCAGTTACCTGACTAGTTTAAAGTTCCCTTTGGTGCCAGGAATATCTGTAGGGAACTCATCTGGGGTGCTGCTTCCACAGGATCGGTAGCACTCTGGTCGAGAGCAGCTTGGATCATCCAGCTTGTAAATCTGTGATTTTTTAAAATTGAAAAAAGGTTTAATTCCTCAAGGGTTAGTTACCTGCAATCTTACATCCCCCATGAAACAGAGCTGCTACACTTACAGCAATGACTCACCTTTGCATTAGCATAACCCAGCTTGATTGTGATATTTCTTTCCAGTTCATTTTTAAATCTGACAGTATGAACTCCAGATATAGCTTTGACTACTGTCGACTTTCCATGGGCTACATGACCAATTGTACCTGTGTTTTAAAAGGAAATGTTCATCAATAAAACACAGTTTAATTTTGTGCAATGCTCCACAACAATCAATACACAATTACCCCAAATTCTCACAGACAGTAAGTCCATGTGGTATACATATGGAATTTGTAACAATTTTTTGTTTAAACAAACAAGACCTGAAATTGTGCTCCCAATGGACAGATCTTTGCATTTTAATGAAACTCATTTCAATCCTTTATTTCAAGGTAAAACAAATTTTGCTTTAGCAACTATTCCCCAGGCCATTCAACTATGCTCCTGAAGTAAAATTGGTGCTTTTCAAGTCAAAAGGGCTGGACAAGTCCCTAAAACTACTATGTAACTGTTTCTGTACAAATTTCTTGAAAGTGTTACCACACAGGAACCATCTGCTACTGCATGAGCATCAAAGAGAGTCACCTTAATGCACCCCTCTTTTTTATAAGGTTATTTTACCTATATTAATTGTTGCTTGTCTGCTGATGACTTCTGGTGAAAGAGGCGTCAACTTGGTAACATCCTGTACAAGGGAGATTTTAGAATTTATTCATCTTGTATTAAATGTTTAGAAAGATAAAAATTAGGAACTTGAAAATTAACTGATAGTTCTATTCAGCAAAATCCAGTTATATTATGTGCATTCCAGTCTTGTAAGTGTGTGAAATACGTGTGAAAAGTGAACCAAGTCCTGCTTGTGAATCAGTACAGGCTTCTATTCAAAACCCTGACTGTAAATCAGTCTTGGCTGCAAAGTGTTAAAGATGGGAGTAAACAAAACAAGAAACCTCAAAAGAAACTTTTAACAAAACACCCCAAACCCCTACCTACCCCTGAACCTAAATTACACATAACAGGCAAATTCATTTTCAACAGTCTACCTGACAAACTGCACTAATATTTTATAAACAAAGCTTTGTCAATACACAGTTGTTTAATTGGTGTAAGGTTTCATACAGCCAATATGTAATTACAACTAACACTTTGGATCAGTGGGTCCAGAGGTTTCTTTAACACCATGGTTTTTTATTCTTTTTAATGGCTATTTTTTTCCTCAGATATTGTTATTGCTGCTTAAGGTACCAGATAAAAATTCTGCTGTCCTAAATAGTCTGTTGTGTGAACTTATTGGTAGCCACTGGCAAAACAAAAACCTCACAAATACACTCTGTATAGATAAAGAAACAATTCTGAAAGAGTTGTTTAGGTTTTTTTAAAGCTGTTTGACCAAATAATGGACAAGTGTTGAAATCCACTGAAATGCTCCTCTGTAAAGCTAATATCCATCCTGCATTGAATTCATAGGGATGAGCCACTCAGTTCAAGCAAAGATTCATGATGCCAGAAGAGTCCTCGGTGCAGGACAAAATTTAAGATACAAATAATACAAACATTAAATCACATATTGTTTACACTGTTACATGAAGGCTCTGTGCAAAGTGATCAAACACACCCGTGTAAAAATGTAAGCTCAGTCATTCTGCTCTCAAGTATGACATGAACAAAATGTTCATGTTCAATACAAAGCAAATTTTGAACACCTAAGACACATAATTAAATTTATATTTCTCATATATCGAACTTAAAATGACTTCCCAGCGATGGGAACGCGACCTGCAGATGGCACCATGTGGCCGGGCGACCAGAATTTCAGCGTGATGCAATTCCTGCCACCAGGAGAATTCTTCCTGGTGCACGAAATCATGCACGCATGGAGGTTTTGCCTCTGGTATAAGACAGGTATAAAGCTATTGCTCAGCAAGAAGCTTCACTCAGACACAAGCTCTCAAGGGCCGGCAGAACAGGCCTTAAAGAGAATTCCTGCTGATGTTCCAGTCAGTCTATCTGTGCCTTTTCCAACTAGGAAATGCCATGGTCAACAATGACAGGAAGAAAAGAAACTATCTGAAATAACTAACATGCTCGCCATAGGGAATTCCTGTGCTCAAGCCCAAAAAACAGTGAATATTATTGCTGTAAAGACAAATTAGCTGCACCAGTTTAAACACCGGGGACACAGCAGCAGGATTTTTGACTATGTACATTGTAATACACTTGAATTTGAAATATACATCACATATACACTTAGACTAGCATGCAAGTGTAATAAGTGAGGCAGCCCAGGTGAGATATTTAATAGGGAAGGCTGCCATAGCAGGAGACCACTGCAACTGGCTGCAGTGGTAAATAGAACTGGTAATTCTCGGTAGTTGTTAACAGTTGAGAAAATTTTCTTGGCAAACCAACCAAGAAAGGGCTGGTAGCGAACTCCTCGGGCTTGCTGTAGAAAAACACCTCAAATTCATGGTTCTACTTCGTAAAAAGAGAAGTCTTTAATACCATAGAACAGGTCAAACCTTACACGAGGAAAACTGCACCCACCAGTGAGCCACAAAAGCTTCAGCCGCGCTGGCGGGACACGGAGCCGCTGAGCCTCGCACTCACGGGCAGGAGAAGCGCCTCGCCCAGCGCCCCACACCCATCAGGGCCAGCAGGACCAGCTCCCTGCTCCCTGCTCGCGTCCCCTACCCTCGGCCCCCGTCCCCCTGCCCTCGGTTCCCGTTCCCTGCTCCCTGCTCGCGTCCCCTGCTCCCTGCCCGCGTCCCCCGCCGCCCGGCGTGCTGAACGCGGCTCCCCGAGGCGCCATCGCCTCCCGCGCCCCTTGGAGCGCATTGGCCACAGTGGGGCCCAGCAGAAGGCTCGGAGCCCCTCGGGCCGCAGCCCTCGGCCGCCCGGCCGCCCCCGCCGAGCCCCGGGAGCCCGATGTGGCTCCGGGTCGCCCCGCGGGCGGCGCTCACCAAGGTGCCGAGATCCTGCCGGCTGAGGTGCGGCTGCCCCAGAGTCACTCCCGCCTCATCCCCCGCCATCTTGGCCCGAGTAGGAAGTGAGGAGTCCCACGCGGCCGCCTGACCGCCGGCTCCTCTCGGCAAAGCCGCTGCCGGCCCGCAGCCTCCGGTCCACAGCGCGGCACCGGCCGGCCCGGGAGCGGACACCGAACTCAAGAACAAACAGCGATCAGCGCCAGCGAGCCTCCACTGGCTCCGTGGCGGAGCGGCCACGAGTCAGGCGCGCCACCGGGCAGCCCTGTTAAGGACCCCCGGTCGCCCTCACGCCGGGTGATGCAACCGGGGCCTGCGGCGGGGCCGCGCGGCGCGCGGGAACGTGCACGGGCGGGAGCGCGGCCGGCGGGTACCGGGAGCGCGGGCACGGCGCGCCTGCGGGAGCGCGCAGCTCGGCCCAGCCGGAGCCCGCCGTGACGGACGGCCCGAACACCCCGCCAGGAGCGCCGGGAGCCGGCACAGGCCGCGCCGGTGCCGTGCAGCGCGGGTGTGGAACAACGCCGTGGCTGCGGGAAGGGGAGCGGGCCCGGTGAAAGGCACACCGACGGCAGGAGGCTCAGGGGGCCGGGCTCAGGGTTTGTGGCTGTGCGGGTTTATTTGGGGTGTCCTGGGGGTGCGGTGCAGAAAGGCACCCGGGGGGAGGCCCGAAGCACGGTGTCCGTGTATGTACCGAAAGGAGCACATCGATCGCGGAGTCACGTGTTATAACCTGTGTTATACGTGTATTATAACCTGTGTTATAGCATCTGTTATACCTGTGTTACAACCTATGTTATAATCTGTGTTATAACCTCTGCTGGCCATCGGCATGCGGAGATCTTTCTAACTTCAGCCTTTTTCTTGTTACTGTCTTTATAGACTGGGTGCTTATTGTTAGGGAAAGCATGTGGATGTGAGAGCTGCCCCAACAAACGAACAACCTGAATGTTTTGTAATGAAACAGGAAAAAATCCCACCAAGCACTTGCTGTTTCCAGAGTTGGTTATGACATAAATGCTTTATAAATTGAATAAAATCCCTAATCCAATGATGAGAGCCAGGTTAGAGGTTCACCAGAGAGTAAAGGTCAAATTCCTAACCCTTCCCTGTGGGAAATTAAGCGGACCTCTTCATGGGAGCCTCTTACAGGCACAGAAATGTTGCTGATAGTATTTCCTCCGCGGTCAGGGAAGCAGGTTTCAATGCAGGTAACGAGTTATCTCAAATTCCTGTGTGTTGTGCCAGCAGCAGTGGCTTTGTCCGTTTAAAAACGCGTTTGTTCTCAGATTTAGCCTGGCTTTGCAGGTCAAAAAAAGCAGGTTTGGGGCAGACAACCACGTGACTGAAATGTGATGATGGAAATCCTTGTGAAACTGGTGTGCCTTGTTTAACAATGGTTGTGACCTCCCACTTTCACCAATGCTACTATTTCCATGCTTTCCTGAGCCAAGAGGTAGGAGTGAGTTCTGCTGGATAGACCTAGAGCAAACGCATTGCCACTGTTATTGACCTGAAGAAATTAACAGAAACACATTGTAAGAAACCTTCCAGTATCTATGATGGTGTTGCCAGTGACAAAATGTATTTTGTCTTGCAACTCAACCATGTCATATATTGGTCTGGAAAATAAATTTTCATATTTAATCTTTTATCAGGCCACATGGTGTTTTCAATTTTGTATTTAATACCTCACTTCTGGGAAAAACAACTGAGATACACGAGGTGTAGTGGGAACATGATGCAATACTTGGTTATAGTTGCCTCAATGTTCACACATGTATAATCCCTCTTTTATGAAAATGAACTGAAAATACTGGACTCTGTAGTTACTTAGCTGTTTAAATTATGCAATAAATACAGTGCAGTGTGTGTAAAATTATGGAAATAGTTTTTGTCACATTTGAAACAGGCTTTAAAAAGGACTTAATCCTTGCCAAACACCCTGTCAGAAATATAAAAAAAATACACAAACTGTTGCTTCTATTTTAATAATGAGATTGTACGTTTTACATATACTGAAGTACTCTTGCTATTTTGATTCACTTATTTGGAAATGTTTGTAGTATAAAGAAAACCCAGAAAAGTCTAAAGTCTGCAAATATCTAATTATTGTAGGATCACAGAATGATTTAGGTTCTAAGGGACATCAAAGATATTGAGTTAAAATCTTCCTGCCATGGGCAGAAACACCTTTCACCATCCCAGGTTGCTCAGAGCCCCATCCAGCCTGGCCTTGAACACTTGCAGGGAAGGGGCATCCACAGCTTCTCTGAGAAACCTGTGCCAGTGCTTCACCACCCTCACAGTAAAGAATTTCTTCCTAGCACCTAATCTCAACCTGCCCTCTTTCAGTTTAAAGCCATTCTCCCTTGTTCTGTTACTACATGCCCTTGTGAAAAGTCCGTTTTCCAGCCTTATTTTGGGCCCTCTTTAAGCACTGGAAGCTTCTATAAGGTTTCCTCAGAGCCTTCTCTTGTCCAGGCTGAACAACCCCAACTAAAATAGGTAAGAACATTTCTAGGAATTGACATTATGTCATATTTCAATATATGTGTGTTGGACATGAATATGTATGAATTAAATAAAGTTTAAAAATATTAGAATTAAATAGTAACTGGTGTATTAATACAGCTAAAAAAACTGTATCCAGAATTTTATTAATTGCAAAAGTTTCATTTAAGCCACTGGTAACTGTTTAGCCACTGACTTTGTAGAGATGCCTAAATCAGAGGGGTCAACCCAAATCCCAATTTAAATTAATATTCAGTAAGGTAATCTTGATACCAGTGGTCACTGTCAGAGGCCTTTAATTTTATTTAGGAGACTAGAACTGAGACATTATTAACATATTTTGATTTTTTGATAGAAGCAAATTGTTCAATGAGAAGGGGATGGGAGGGGTTTTTTGTGCTTTGAAATGCTGAGCTGTTTTAAATGTCAAAGCTGTTGTGGTTTTGTTTTGTGGCTAGGTTTGAGGTCCTCTTCTGTGACAGTGTGTAGGAGAGACCTGAAGATCATCTCACACCTCAGCTTGACACAAAATTGCAGACAGCAAAATGACAGTCAGGTAAAACATGAAAGTCTTGCTTAGCTTTTTCCACCCTTGCTGACCTACGAAGGTCAAAAGCCTGAGGGGTGCAGAAGGGTGCATGAAGTTTTGGTTGTATCATTTCTGTATCTGATAGACTTGGTTTCTACTCATTTTTCTTTGTTGAAGTATTTGATATGGGTGGGCACATGCTTGCTGCAGCAGGAGATGTCCCTTATGGAAAAGGGAGGGAATGTCTCTCCTTTGAGACACAGGTGGCAGGAACACCTTCTGTCTTGGCAGGGTCACTATGTAAAGGCCAGTTTTTTCACCATAAGTGCACAAGTGACAGGTTTTAAAACAGTGACTGGGGAGATGCGGCAGATTTACTGCATGAGTGAAGGAGATGGAGTAGTAAGGAGTTGCAAAGGTCTGGCCATTGGGATGAAGGAGAGAATGGGAAGCTGATTGTAGCAGAGGGAGCAGTAGGTGGGCAGGTGAGCAGAGTGGGAATAGCATTGGGAAGTCTTTGAGAGGCACCACTTGGAATAGGTGGTTCATTGTGTGAAGCCCTGAAAGGTGAGGAAGGCATTCAGCTTGGGGGTGGCAGGTATAGAGAAGGTACACTTGGTTTATAAATCAAGAATGGGAAGGGGGTGGTAATGAGAGACTGAAAATAGGCTGTGAAAGAGATGGGAACAGCAATAAACAGGGAGAGGATGGCAGCCTGTGGCCTACTATTAAAGCAGTGAGTGGCACGGAAGGGTAGCAAATGGTTTGGGGGTGGTAGTGGCAAACCAAAGGTCCACGTAGGTTAATTCATCTCTTACAATAAAATCTGAGTTTGCTAGGCAAAGGCAAAATAGCGAAAGCTAAGGGGTGATGTTTGTGCTAAGGCAGAGCCCTGCTCACCCCATTCAGAGCAGTGCTCCCTGTGTGCAGTTTGTTCGCTGCTCAAGGGCTGCCGCTCCTGACCCTGCGGCTCGGGTGCCCCGGTTCCCACGCGGGCTGGCACTGCGGAGAGCGGAGCTGGGCTCAGCCCGCAAGCACCTGGGCTGGCCGGTGTCCGGAGAGGAGCTCAGCCGGCGCCGAGCGGGGATTGCTGCAGCCCGGGGAGGGATGCAGCGCTTCACGGGCAGCTGCCGTAGCCTCGGAGGAACTGGCCGCAGCCCGGAGGCAGCGGGTGGGAGAGAGCAGCGCAACGCGGACCCGCGTGGATGCGCGTCCTCGCGGGCCGAACGCAGATGATGCTTCTCGGTGTCGCTGTCTCCAGCCGTGCTCCTCGGGGCGTGCCGGGGCTCCGGCCTCTGGCTGAGCCCGCGCGGGGCGGGTCCGGCCCGGTGCCGCTGCCGCGGTGCCGGTGCCGCTCTTCGGCCCGGGCCCGCCCGCGCGGCTCAGGTGCGGCGGAAGTGACGGCCGGCGCGGTGCTGCCGGGGGAACATGGCGCCCGCGGCCGCGCGGGGCAGCGCGGAAGGTAAACAAGCGTGAGGGCGGCGGGGACCCCGGGGCGAGGCCGGGCCGGGAGCGCCGGTGCCCGGGCGGCGCGGCGGGGGCGGCTCCCGCCTCCCCCCCGAGCGCGGACGGCGGGGAGGAGGGAGCCCAGGATCCCCCCTTCTTCCTCCGCCTCCTTCTCCTCCTCCTCCCGGCTTCGCCTCAGCCATTGCCCCTCTCCGCAGCCCCCCGGCGCCTCCCTCCGCCGCCCCCGGCTGTATGGTACACGGAGCCAGGGCCCCTCTCCGCCGCTCCAGCGGGAGGAGCCGCGTCCTCAGCGCCGCCGCTGCCGAGAGGTGGGTGAAGGATCCCCCGGGCCCTCCCGCCGCCGTCGCCCGCCCCATCGAGGGCGGCCCGGGAGCCCTCCTGGCCCTCAGGGACCCTCCTCCCCGGGCTGGGGACGGCGGGCCGAGTGCTCGCGGGCGGGCTGCAGCGGGGATCGGGCGGGCACGGCGAATGCCTGGCGGCTCCGGGCCGGCCGCAGCCCCGCCGGGCCCCTCGGGTTCCTGCGGCCGCTCGTCGCGGACCCCGGGCCTGGCAGCCCCGCTTGCCGGGGAGCTCGGCCTGCGAGCTCTGCTCCCAGCGGAGCGGGGCCAGCAGACAGCTGAAGTAGGTCAGCCGAGTTCCTGCCCCGAAAATGGCCATTTTTACCTGCCCTCCCCCTCCCCCCCAGATCGTACCTGATCGTGAAAAAAGTATCCGTGATCTGTACGAGTAGAGCTAGCCAGGGTTGGTACTAGAGCTTGGATCCGTTTGGTGAGTGCTGGAACGTCACTTAGAAATTTAAAGTTCTTGCCTTTTTATTGTTAGGGGTTTGGGTTTTTTTCTTCCCCTTTAGAAGAGGAATAGGAGAATCATAAAGCTATTACTGGATAAAAGGACAGAACTACTGACTTCTCTGGCTTCCTGTGGATTTGTTATATAAACTTACCTGTAGAATAACCCAACTCTTGCACCACCATTGCCCCAGCTCACATTCAGACCCCCTGAGCATACCACCATGCACCAACATACCTCCTGTATTTTCCCTTCCATCACCTAGAAAACATGTTTAATTTCTACCACATGTCCTATAAACTTTCCCGGTGACACTCATCTCCTTTCACTTTCCATAATTATACCCTGTGGCTGGTTTGGATGTGCACATGTGTTGATTTACCTTTCAGCAAGCAGAGCACAGCAGATAACCATTGAGCTCCCACTGGAGACATCAGACCTTTTTCATTCATATAGCTGCCAGTTTGGGGGATATGTGTAGAAATGAAATATGTTTGAGATTTCTGTTTTTCTGACAAGTGAGTTTGACATTTGGCAGTGAGGTTAAAACCTTGTGTGTCTTGAACAAAGGGCACAATTAATGTCATTTCCCAGAAGATGCTCAGAGTACTTACTAAGTTAGCAATAAGATACAGATAAAATGACAAATGGAGGGGGTAGTTTAGCAATCCTAATTTAAATTTTAAATATTTTTTAGTAATGTAGTTTGAATATTACTTGTTGCTGTTTTCCATCTTATACTAAAAAATTATAAGTCAGAAAAGATAGGATTTTTTGGTTGCTAACAGATACTTGCTACTTTTCTGTATAAAATACACTATAATTTTCTTCATAAAAATCTTCACAGTGAGAGAATCAGGCTTTATTCATACCTTTTTCTTAATTAATCTTGAAAAGATTAATCTTTCTATAAGACATATATATGTAAAAGAAGGACTGATATCATTCAGGATAGAGCACTCCTGTCCACTTTGAGAGCAATGGCAGATCTATACTTTTCAACACTACTAATCATTTACCTTTTAGGTATTAGTAATGCAAGTATTTCCAGTTAAAGATAATTCTCATTTTGGTGGATGTATCAACTATTTTATACAGGGCACCTGTTCTGGTACCAGTAAATGCAATTGCAAAGAGCCTTGAGCTGAGCTTGCTCTGTGTTTGGGAGCAGGTTTTTCTGTGCAGGTGTTGTGATGCAGTGACCTTTAGACAGATGGTTCAAGCTATCTTAGTGTCTGTGAAGTGCAGTTACAGGTTCTGGCACGCACAGAGTGAAGAATAACCGTGCTGAGCTGAGGCACAATCCAGGCTGAGTTTCAGTAGCTTTGGTTGTAACTGGTTCTGATGCTTGTGACACAGCCGTGATGACCCCAGTGACACCAAGTGCCACTGTTGCTGTGTGCTGATTCACATTGCTCCCAGATAGCAGCACAGGCAGATTGTCAGGGCAGCTGTGCTGGTCAGCTCTGTGTCCCTGAGAAATGGGGTGTGGGCAGCTTGCAGTTCTGGCAGTCTGGTTCCTCTGCCTGGCAGTGATTGGTAAGCTCCTAGCTTCTCCCTTCTCAAGTAATCCAGTGCTTTTGGAATTCTCAAGATGGATTGGATGAAGTGTTAAACATGAACATACCAATGTGTTGAAGATGAATTGTTTCCCAAAATTAGTGGACTAATGACAAAAGATTTCAGATAAAACACATGGAAACTGGATGTATTGCTTTGTTCCCTACATTTGCAATTGTTGTAGCAATGGAAAACTTTGATAGCCACTGGTTATTGATCTATCCCACATGACATCACTCCTTCTGTTGCTGTTAATGAGGGATTATGATGAAAAACGGTGGACAAAATGTAATGGTTTTAGTTTTGAACCATGTAAACAAAGGTTTAATTTGGGGGATAAATTACTTATACCCTGTACATTATCATTGCATTCCTACTCAGTACAGTACACTGCATTCAAAGGCCCAGCCTTCAGCCATGTCTGCAGTTATGAACGTTTGCTAGTGTGTTCAAATACTTGTTGTGTTGTATTTTTTATGTGTCTATAACATTTGACTATGGAGAAATGTCCTCTTCCTGCAGAAAAGCGTGTTAACAAAACTAGGGTCAAAGAATTCTGCTCTAGGCAGCCTTTGCTGTGCACTCCACCAAATAAAGCACGCATAATGGCTTTAAAATTTACATTTAAATGCTTGCATTTGGTAGATGGAAGAGATTATTGCATTTTAAGTTCTATTTTAGTACTTTGTGTAACCAAAGTGTGGTTCTGTGTGTCTGGTGAAATATCCTTATGGTTGAACTCATAGATAATAGTGTTTTAGTATGTGAAAATTTGTGGTTCAGCTCGTCCACAAAGATGATTTCTTAGAATATCTATGGGATAGGTAAAATGAACAAGTACTGCATAATTAGTAAACAAAACAAATCTTGCTCGTTCTGTCTCAGCCTCCCAAATGAGTTACTAAGGAACAACAGTAAAGGAAAGCTGAAATTTTCCTTTGAGCTGGTGTGCTAGACTTGGTAAAGGACAATAAATTTCTGTCTCTAGAAAATGCATATAAGCTTACATATAACATAAAGATGCATATTCAAAGGGCCCTTTTTCAGGTAGTACTGCTTTTGGAGAGGTTTTAAATCCAGGAGGGCATGAGTGAAAAGCAGATATTGTATAGCTGGCTTCTCAATAGCCAGTGCATTTAGACTCTGTTTCTTCTGCTTGTGACTAAGAGCCTCAGACACCCTGAGGAAAGAAGGTTCTCCTTGTTTAGCAAGAAAAAGCAGTCTAGAGGAGGGTTGTCAGACTTTTATTACAGCTGCAGAATAAAGATGAGGAATCAGTGTTCCAAGTAAGTGGTTTTGCAGTTAGAGCACTGTAGAATCTAATGCATTATATGCTTAAAGAGGAAAAAATGTAAGCAACAGCTAATAAGGTTAAATGTATTTCTCTTTTGGCTTTTCAGCTGAGTCTTACTTCCTGTGCTGCATTATCCTGATCAGCTCTAATATGTGCAGAACAATAACAAATGTCAATGTACATTGCCCCCCACCTCCCCTTCATTGTTTATACATTGGAATTTTTTGTTCCAGTTTTCCTATAGACCACTGCAGTCTCCATGTCTTCCATTGGATTAAGTGTGCAGCTGTGATTTGCATGCATGAAGAAAATCTAACTGAATTTTCCATTTTTATTGAAAATATGAAAAAAAAATTGTTATGTATTGTCCTCTGGGAAATAACTGCAGCATTTGAATAGTGCTTAGAATTACATCAAAGATTGCAAGTGTGTGTGTGGGAGGAATGGCATAGCTATGCTTTAGAAAAATTACTTGGTTTGAGAGTATTTTGTATTGCTTTTTTAAATGTTTGAACTACCACATTGCTGTTTGCTTTTGATGGAGGATGTTAGCTTTAGAAATGAAGATTTTTACCAATTAAGCATAATATGCATTTAATTATCTACTTTCCCAGTTTTTGTACTATTTTAACCCGTTTGTGTATTTGCACTGGCAATGCATTTTTTTGATTTAAAGAAGAATTTATCTGCTGATAATGTGTATGGCTTTATGCCAAGAAAAGGATATTTACTCCTTTTATTTAATGCAGGGAGACAAGTAGTCCTTTTGCTTTTCACTCCTAGAATTCTGAAGCTTCTTTAGATGGTGTAAGGAGAAGTCTTACTGCTTTTGTGTCTTCCTAAGTAATCCATTAAATGCTCAATGCTGTTTAGGAGGAAAAATATGTTAATGTTGAAAACTGTAGATTTACTAAAAGTAATATCAGCAGGAATGTGAAAAGAAGGATTAAGTGATTTTTAAAACATTCAGAAATAATAGTTTCCAAGTGTTGACTCCTTTGTTACTGTTTTGGAGATTTGTGGCTGACTCAGTGTTTTAAGTATTTTTTATGGAATAGCCAGTTGTAGGGAGATGTAAAAATTGCAACCCTAAAGGGTGTTCCCTGAATACAGGTGGATTTTATTTCTCTATATTTCAGTGATTGCTGCCTTGTTAGATTTAAAATTCAAAGGAGAATAACATATACATGAAATTTTTTGTGTGCATATATTTTCTTATGTTTATTTAATCAGAATTAAAAAGAAGGTGGCAGAAAAATCCCCACATCGTTTCCGTGTCTATGCAAAAGCAACAAGATCACGGATTCTCAGACTAGTTGAGGTCCAGAGGGACCTCTGGAGGTCATCTGTGCCACCTGCAGGGCCACCTAGAGCCAGTTGCCCAGGACTCTGGTGCTGGTTTGGTTGGGATTTTTTGTTTTGTTTGTTTGTTTGTTTGGGGGTTGTTTGTTTTGGATTTGGAGTTTTGGTTTGATTCTGTTGAGTATTATTTACTTGTTTTGCTCCTTAAAAGCAGCACTGGTGGTGCATCTACCATGTTTCTCTGCTTAACTTCACTTCCAACTTTTCCATTTTGCTTCTTGAGGGTGGTGAAAGAGGCCTTTCTTTTAGGGCCATCCCGTGTACAAGTTAATTTGTCTCCTTTTTTTTTGAGGAGTACCCATAATGTAATTACCTTTGTCAAAGTGAGGGCAAAGATCCTCCTGTGTGTTTGGAGCTTGCTGCTGTGGATTTTCAGTGCTGTTCAGGTGCACAGATATGCACATACTCTTTTGAAGAAATCCCTTCAGAGGGATTACGTGTGTGATGGGGGATCCCATTATTTCCAGATGAATATACAATTGCTTCTGTCACTTGGGGAATGTTGCTTCATTTTTTACTTTTCTCCCCTGATACATTGTTGTGTCATTCTATTCTCGTTCTCACATTTGCAAATTCCAACTGTCCTTTCCCATTTTAAACCCTGATCATGGAACAGATGCTGAGCCAAGTCTTAGTTGGTCTCCTGAAGCTCTGTAACTTCCACAGTTTACTGTCTGAGAGTTCTTGTAACCACCGAAGCTCTTGGCTGATTTCAGACAGGAGTGAGAGTTGGTTTAAGTCACTGTATGTTTTATGAAAATGAGTGGCCCATTTAAAGGCAAGTGATCATTAAATCTCTGAACAGGAAGGATGAGCTCAGCTATTATTAAACATCAGAGAACTGGGGATGGGAGGTGAGGAGTTACAAGTGCTCTGATGAAAGAGGGAAGTAAGCTGATATTGGTTCTTACCTTTTTATTTGATATCAGAAATCCAGTTAGAAAGCAAAATCCTGTAAAGTCAGGCTTTATGCTTCCTCCTCAGTTAGGTGCTTCTTTTTGAGGTGATAAAAATTAGAGAAGTGGTTCTTTCCTCATCTGCTTTTGTGTAAGAGTTGGCAACAACAAAGAAAAATATCTGATGGTAATTTTTCTTTCTGGTAGGCATTTGATGTTGAGGAATAAGAGACTCACAATAGGAGATGGCAGAGCAGTTTGCATGTTTCTCTTTGTCTTCAATGACATTGAAGGGAAAGTGCTATCTTGGATACTGGTGAGAAAGTGATTGGATTGTCATCTTTGTTCTTTGCTCCTGCTCTTACTTCCAGGAATTTGAGTTCTGTGAGAAGGTCTTAATTGTAAAGAACACTCCCAGCATTGGCTTTATCGTGCACAGAACCCATCATCAGGCTTCAGCAGTGTGGGAGTGCTGCTAATTCCACAAGGTGTGGCTACAAACACCCATTCACCAGTTTAGTTTCGCACAGACAAAGGGTATCTCCAGTTTGGTTTTCCTGGATGTGTGCTGAGGAGTGAAGGAGAGATGATTAACCATTGATGAGTCTAATACAATGCATTCCTGTTACAATGGCAGCAGCCAGAATGTGGTGCTTGAGGAAGTGGGGGTAAGTGGAAACTGCTCTCTGATGCTGTGAAACACAGGCCAGCCTGGAGTCACTTCTGGGTCCATAGACTTGTGTGAAGTTTTATGACCTTGAGAATCTGCAGGTTTTTCTAATGTGTTGGTATTATTTAGATTTTTACTAGTACCAAAACATTATTAGCTTCATTTATTATAGAAAATTCAGAGTTAAATGCAACAAATATCTGAGGGAAAGTTGAAGTGTAATTTCAGGTGGGATGAAGTGGAACAAAAGTAGCTGAACCAATTCTAATAGTAAATGAATGCCAAGTAGGGAAGTTGTTGCTCTTTCTCTCTCTTCTTGCACAAGTATGTGTCCTGCCCTCTGCATCAGGTTGGTTCTTGTGCCAAACCCCACAGTGTCTAAGTCAGAAGTCAGCTCATTGGGAAGCAGAAAGATTTCTAGTTTTGAGGGTTTGTGTGTGCTGGGGAGTGGGGTGGTCATGTTTGTGTCATTTTCACATCTGTCCCTCCCTGCTCTTAGTTTAATTCTTAGTCATGTTTATGAGTTGAATTGACTTTCTGGAGTGGCCCAGTGAACCCCAGAAATGGCTCAAAGTAGGCAGCAGGAGCTCAGGTCCTGGAATGTGACAGAGAAGGAGAATGCAGCTGTGGTCCCTTGGTGAATTGTGAATTGGTTCAAGCTGTGTTGGGCAACTTCACCCTACCTAAACCCAAAGAAGTTGAGCAACATTTTGAGAAGTTTCTGGATTTTGAATAGGTTTTTATTTTGATTATTGAATTGACTTCAACAGGGTAGGATCCTGCACCTCTTATATTTTTTTTTCATTTATTTGCAGTTTAATTTTAGCTTGCATATAGTAATGTTATATCTGCAAATGCTTAATGAGCAATCAAGCTTCACTAAGCCCACTATAGAGAATATTATTTTTTGTGACCTATTCTTGTCAGTGCTTCTTGTTGCCTTAGTATTTTGCACTTCATAGATCTCATAATTTAATATTAATCACTATAGTAAGAAATGGGGGGGCAACATGATGGGACTGTTTTTACAGGAGAAGTGAAGTACACAATCTCAAATAGTATCTGTGAAAATGTTCATTTCCCTACAAATAACTTTTTAGTAAATTGACATAGATCTTAAAGCATAATAAATGTTGGGTTTTTTTTAAGATCATACCATGTACAGATCTACTGAAGCTTGTTTCTGAAGTTAAGGAAATTTGGCTTCCTTTTTTTGAGACCTTTGATATCCAAGAGTGGGTGTTTTATTGCTCCCCTGAGATAAATTCTTTAGAAAGATTGAAAGGGGGAGAGGAAAAAAACCATGACAACCTTTTTAGTTCATTATATGACCATGAATTAACTTGGAGTAAGGAATCATTTTGGCAGTACTGCATAGTTATTTTTGTTCATTACCCTGTCTTTAAAATGAGAATATTTGGTTTGGGGAGAAATATTTAAAGTTTGTGTTTTAAATTATTTCCTAAGTTGGTTTTTCAGCTGTAGACAGAACAGAAAGAATGGTGAAGACTTTTAAGTCCTAATCAAAGCAATCTCAGTTAGGATTTATCTGGTCAGGAAGAGCTTGTAATATGTTATTAGAAATTATGATTTATTTTTATTTTTATTTATTTTCTTTCTTCCCCCCAGGTGATTCATGGCAGGGGACGTGGAAGGGTTTAGCTCCTCCATCCATGACACCAGTGTCTCTGCAGGATTCAGAGCACTGTATGAGGAGGGATTGCTTCTTGATGTCACACTTGTCATTGAAGACCACCAATTTCAGGCCCATAAAGCACTGCTTGCCACCCAGAGTGATTACTTCAGGATTATGTTCACAGCAGACATGCGAGAACGAGATCAGGACAAAATCCATTTGAAAGGTCTGACAGCTACAGGCTTCAGTCATGTCCTCCAATTCATGTACTATGGAACTATTGAACTGAGTATGAACACTGTTCATGAAATCCTTCAGGCTGCCATGTATGTCCAGCTTATAGAGGTGGTAAAGTTTTGCTGCTCTTTCCTCTTAGCTAAAATCTGCTTAGAAAACTGTGCAGAAATTATGAGACTTCTGGATGATTTTGGTGTAAACATCGAAGGAGTCAGGGAAAAATTGGATTCCTTTCTGCTAGAGAATTTTGTGCCACTCATGTCCAGACCTGACTTTCTTTCATATCTGAGCTTTGAGAAGCTCATGTCTTACTTGGATAATGATCATCTGAGCAGGTTTCCAGAGATAGAGCTGTATGAAGCTGTTCAGGCCTGGCTACGCCATGATAGAAGACGCTGGAGACATACGGACACCATCATTCAGAACATCAGGTTTTGTTTGATGACACCATCCAGTGTTTTTGAGAAGGTTGGTGCATTTGAAAAGCAGTAGGCAGGATTCATCATTTAGCTAGGGCAGCATGCCATTAAATAGGTAAGATTCCAGAAGCTATGCAAAGGAACAATGATAGCATTTATTTTTCTAATAAAGAAAAGCAGAGAAGGCAAACATCTAGAAGTGTTGTCTTTGGTTATTAGACAATAATACTACAGTGGCTGGAGAACAGGTATGTTTGCAGTACATGTTTATATGTGACTTAATATGGAAAAGACCTTTTGAAATAAGGTCACTTGTATCTAATTTGATTTTCAAACATTCTTAACTGTTTTCCACAAGTTGTTTCTTGCTTTCCAGAGGCTCTAGACCTGCACATAATATGTAGGGTGTATGTTGTGATGATTGTTACCAATATAATCAAAACTAGTGACTGCAGATCTTATGTGGCTTAAGTACAGGGGAGGGTTATTTACAAATGAAAAGTAACATCTGCTCTTAAACCTGCAGAGTGTTGTTGTTGTATCTTCAGTGCTTGTGCTATTACACAGCAGTTAGAAGTAAGCCCTGATCCTGCAAAGTTACACATACACTTGGTTTTACACAAGACATAATACAATCAAAAATTATTGATGGTGTCAAATGTAATGATTTACTTTAAATATCAGAGGACTCTTTGTAACAGGTGATTTATAGTTAACTTCCATTGTATGTAGTAAGAGTTAAACGAGAACTTGCCTTTTCTACTCTTCTGTTGAAGAACAGACAAAATTTGTTTTCTAGTTCTTCAGAATCTCTGAATATTTATTAACAGTACAGTATTACAATACTTTGTAAGCAGTTCTCTTACAGGCCAGTAACAATGTTCAAGTTAGGAATTACTTGATCTGTGCTGTTTTAACAATGTTAATTTTGTGTTATAAGATACAACTTCAACTTCTGTATTTTTCACCTCTCAGCAAATAATAGGAATTCAGAACCCATGTTTTTGTTGTGCTTCTTACAAATTAATCTTCCATATGTTTTTACTTTAGTATCTAGTGAATCTACAGACACAGTTGTATTGGTTTTAAGAGCCACTGGATCATCTAAGCAGGTTTAATGGTTTTAAGGGCCACTGGATCATCTAAGCAGTAATTCTTATTTGTATTTCAGATTATAAGAGCTATTAATTACTTCAGACTAGTGAATTTTTATATTTTGGATTTTTTTCTGTGTGTGTGAACTGAGTATAGGAAGTAATAATACATAAAATATATTCATGATGCTATATTGGATTATAGACAGAAAATAAATACCTAAACATATTTTAGAACACTAATGTAATGTTTATATTGGGTTAAAACATTTTTAACTAGTAGGAGCTGAACTCTGCAGGATACTGTGTAGTGTCTTGTTTTAAATAGCACTTCTACCATATTATTACATCATTTAAGCCCTTCAGTAATAAAATCTAGAGAATTCAGAATGTATTTTTTGAGGTTAATCTGATAAGGCAGGATTTATGTGAGTCTGCTTCAGCAGTATGAGTTTTGGGGATGCAAGCTCAAGCATCAGGCTGTCTTCAGTTAAATTTCTCTAAGTGCAAGTGAAAGTGTATGTTCAGCATTATATTTGGGTATAACTTCTGGAGTTGGTTTGGGGATCATTGGTATAAATCCTGCATACAGTGCTCCTCATGTTTTATCTTGACAGCTTCCAAATGGCCCAATAGGTACAACTTCAGGAGAGCAGTTGTGTTGAGCATGCCAGGTTATGTACTACATGTAAAAGCTTTATCTGCTAATACCCTCTCTGTTAATTGTATGTGGGAGCAGAGAAAAGCCAGTGCAGATTATGGAGTGAGACAGCTCAGCAGAGGGAAGCAGAGCTAATTATGTCATTTGTTACTGCAGCTAGGAATGCATTTGTGTTCTACCCTGGCTGGAGAGTATTAAGTTATCCAGCAGGACAAGTGACAAAGGACAACTGCAGTTGGAGCCAACATCAGAATATAGAACACTTTATTTTTTTAATAGAAGAGCATGTCTGTTCACTGTTCTGGCAGTAACTCAGGGAGAGCCTCTTTCTTCTCTGTGTAGAATGGGGAAATAGTGGTAAAACTCCCTTTTTTGGAGATCCACAAACAGAATCCCCCCTTTTCCTGAAGCCAGGACATAGTAAATGCATGAATGTACCAAATACAGTCTGAGGTTGACTCTTCCACTTCACCAAACTCTGTATTTTCTGTACACTGGCTGACTTGTTATGTACTTTTGTGTAATCTTTCTAATACCTATTTCTCAGATGCCTGTCACTGTAGGATATAAATAGCTTATATAACTTAACTTTGCAAGTCGTGGTAAGGATACTTTTGTCCTCTTAAGCCATTCTGTTCCTTACATCACTTTTTTGGAGAGATGTACAATTTAAAAATTAAATCAGTGAGTCTAGATTAATACCTGGAGGCTGAAGTGCATTTCAAGTACACAAGTGGAGGTACAGCATGTTTGCTTACTACAGAATGTCCTGGAAAAATGGCTTCTGAACCATGAGTAGGTACTCCTTTTGTTCCTCAGCCCTTAAGGTACATGCAGATGTATGGGAAAAAATGGGAATATAAATCAAGTAAGGATTTAGGGAATAGTTGGAAAGTAAAGGCAAAGTAATTGGGGAAAAGCACAAGTTTCACTATCCGTGTGATATATCCATGTGCTTTCCTTTTTTACTAAACATTTCCATGGCTCTGTAAGTCTTGAGGAAGTTTGGAGATAGGAGTTGGAGTGCCTTTCACCTGGATCACTGAGTTAATCTCCATGTTACTGGAGGCAACCATGTCATGATTTCCCTGAAATACACTGTTTAAGCTCCATTTAGTTTCTACTTCTCAGTGTACTACTCAGATTGAAATGTTGTTTCAAAGTCTCTGTCCTTAAAACCCAGAGATTTTTTTATGTCCAGTCTGTAAGGTTTATTATGACTAGCTCATGCTTATTAATTGCTAGCTTAAATCAAAAATTTACTAATCACTAGATTCATCAGCTTCTGTTGTAGAGGTAGGATAAATAGCACATTATCTTTGAATATCTGCTGTCCTGTTCCTAGAAAATAGTAATTTTTGAGAAGATGTCATTGTAATTTTATGTTACTGTGATTTTACCTTTCATAAGCATGTTGATTTTTTTTTTCCCATTTACCTGCATTTCTAGTAATACATATGTATCTACTTACACAACTTTGTTTGCTGAAGCGTAGAATAAGAAGTGTGGATGAAGTTAGGGGCCCCTCTTATTGTAAATAGGTGCTGTGTTCAGTATTTTTGGGTGTTAAGATTACTGTTAATGTGAATAGATTTGCTATCAGTATTTATTACATGCAGAGCTTCTTAATTGTGGCATATGGATTTTTGATTCCACTCTCATTTGAGAGGTTAGATTGAGTTAGACTCCAGCTTGATTTTGACAATTTCTCTTTCCAGCTTCTAAAAAGGAACAGCTGAGTAATCAATTTGAGGGCATTGTCCTTGCTGCACAGAGGCTGTGCCTTTCTATGGTTAGGCTGAAAACACTTAAGTTATTTCTATTCTTGCAGAATAGCCCTTCAAAGCCCTTCACTGGTACTGAGCAGTTCTCATACCAGCTTATAATTGTGGTTAGAATATGGCCAGAGATTAATAGATATGAAAATAATAAGGATCCTTGTTAGTGGAGTTGATAGATCCTTAGTTTTGGTTCAGGTTAATCTCTAGTAAAATAAGTTTAGGGTTTTGTTTTGAGTAAGAATTTGGTTATTAGAAATGTGATCCACATGCCATCATTGTTCATTGGAAAGGTACAGGAGCATTGCTTCTGTACTCCTGGTAGCTGAGTTTGAGCTGCATCACACATTCAGAATTGGCAGGCTTAGAAAACATAAGCTCAATAAATTGGAATCTTTGAAACAATTCTCTGTTTACATGACTAGAGATGATAAAGTGACATTATGAGCCATCGAGATTTTTCTGTGCTTTTGTTTTTGTTTGCGGTTTTTTTACCAGTCCTACAGAAGGAAGCAAGTTAATAGCCACCCCATAAAATAACATACTAAAATTTAGTTACCAGGTGCACAAATAATAGCTGTTTAGTTTGGGCAGTTCAAAAGAAGTCTTTTTTTTCTGATTTTTAAAGCTTTTTCTTATATACCTAAGTAACAAGAATACAAATAGAGCAGTAGCTGTAACTGGTTGTATGAGGAATTTTTTTTTAAGTCTGTATACTGAAATCAGATGTGTTACAGAACACTTACCTTGCATTTCATTGCTCTTCCTGCAGCTTATTAATTAGCATAATTGGTTTTGGGGAGGGGGAAAGCTGATGAACATAATGTGGGACACAGCTGATCTTTTGTGGAGATAACTTTTCAAATTAGAAAGTAATAGCTTAATTTTTTGTTTTACTTTTTCATATAATATAAATGGAAGATTCTGAGACTTCCAGAGCTGCTACAACTAGAAAAGCATGCATTCAATACAGCAGAAAAATAGGCAATGATTAATCACTGCATTAACTTGGAAAGCCAGCACTTTTTATGGAGTGTTTCACTGCTTTAAAATAAAGAGAGGAAGTACATTAAAGCTCAAATGCATTGGAGGGATGCCCCAGGGGGCAAGTAAAGGGATGGATGTTTTTAATTATTTTTACATCTTTTATTATGGAATAACACATTTGATTTTGTTTATGCTGTTCTCAGTCTGTGTAGCAGAAAGACTGACTGTGAACCACTGGTAGTTCATACACTGAGATAGTTCCTATTCTCCATCTCTGGAGATCTTGTGGAAACTCTTACATAGGTTTTGTCCCAGCATAACCTCTTTAAGAGGGTTTTCTCCAGAAAATTAAAGAAAGAATTGTAAAGAATGTAAAGAAAATCACATAAGTAAAGCTTTAGACTTGGATTAAATTCCTTTTTTAGCAGGTATGACTGGGGTTGATAACCAAGTCCAACTTAAAATGCCTCTGAGACCCTTCAGCAAGATAACAGAACAGTTTAAAGAAAAACTTTGAAAATGCTTTGAAGCATTTGTATTTTTTTAAAAATTCAGAGTTGATGATGTACTCTTTAGGAATGCACATTTGTTTTACTTCAGGGTTCCTGACAATTGCTGTACATTTCCATCTGTTCTGCTGAAATCTGTGTGTTCTGTTTGAGTGTTGTTTATTGTGGACACATTCCTTCCAGAGCTTCTCCATTGGAACTTAACAGGAAAATTGGTCTGTTGATAAGCACTTTGGTATTTGCTGATCAGCTCCTTGTTGCTACTTACAGGTAGTGGCAGAGCCTGCTTTTGAAAGCTGAGGGCTTTCCTTCTGCATGTTTTGGGTGCCAGAGAGAAGTTCCTGCAAAAGGCCATGGACGTTCATCTGCTGACATTCACAACTTACAGTTGTTTTAAATACCAAAGCACCTAAATTTTAATGCTTCTCTTTTTTTATTATATACACAAGTAATGAAAATTACTGTAAAATTACTTGAAAGTGTAGGCAGAAGGTTTTTCTTACTAGGGGCTGAACAGGGCTTTCAAATATTTCTAGAACATTTCATAATGTGTGACTGAAAGTGGGTCAAATGCCCTACATTTGCTTTGTTTTCATTTGCATTGAGCAAGTGTGAGCAGTCTCTGCTTTCCTATAGGCATATCCTAACATTCATGATTTGAGCCTAAGGAGAGGTACTGCTCCTGAATGGCAGAGGTTATGCTGCTGGAAGGTGGATGCCTAAAACCAGGGATATTTTTCCTTGACAGCCAAGTCTAGGAATGCTCCAGTTACCTTTTCTTACCAGTCAATCACTCTTGTTTTGTGGGATTTTTTTTTCTGCATATTGTAAGAATTGCTAGTGCTTGTGTATTTTCATGTTCAGCTCTTCCAACTTGTGCTTGTCGAAGCTTCCCCGTGAACTGCAGTCACAGAGGGGTGTTAATAACTGGGAGTTGCATTTGCTCCATCATGTCTTTTTCATTTAAGGTAAGAGCTTGAGGCTTTGCTTTGACATGAGTGCCTTTGTCAAGATAAGCAGTAGTAAACTAATAGATAGATTCCCTGGTCTCGAGGGTCCCTCTCTGGAATTAGAGGCACTCCTTGTTTCCTTTGGCATGCTCTCATGGGGTGAGATTTAGGCTATGTGGAGGAGTACAGTGATGAGGTTGTAGGCTTATTTTAATTCCAGTTTCTGGCTGGCATTCCAGTTTCTAGATCTAATAACAGAGTTGTAAATGCTGAGGGAGAAGGAAAAAAATGTCCATCTCTGCCAGGCTTTACTGATATGCTTCACATTGTAAGTATGTTTATCCTGTTGTCTTCCATAGTTGTCCAAGAAAACCTGAACTGCAAATAGGTGGAAAAAAGAGAATTTATATTTTTATTTAATGCCAAAGAGGATAGCTCCAGTTTGGGAATACCTGAAGTGGTCCTGCTGGTTTAGAATTTGAAAGTTTCTTTTAAGGATAAAGTAGCCCAGCCACAATTCTTTGTTATTTTAACTTCCTTTTAAATTTTTTTTAACCTTTATATGTCACCATTTTTCTGTGCTGTGGTTCTCCCTGCCAGCATATTTTCTGTAATTTATGTTCAGTCTTTTCAGTCAGGCAAGGTGTATGGTTTATTCTAACAAATATCATATGAGCAAATCTGTCTTTGTATGATATATTATTTATTTGCAACAAGAAAATAGAGCTGTTGTTCCCAGAAGAGTTGAGCTTGCTGTGGGTTTTCTGTGAGTACCATACCTGAGTAGACCTTTTTGCTCCAAAATCACTCCTAGTAAAAACAAGAAAGAAAACAAGAAATTCTAGTAAAAACTAGAAAGAGGCTGGACAATGCTTCAAGAATAATATATATGATCTGCATATGACCATCCTCCTTTTTTTCAGACAAAGATAAGTTGAACTTGTCAAAATTAAAGGGGAGGAAAGAAAAAGTATAAATGAAAACATCCAAGTCACTGTAACTCTTGAGCAATACATTGCTTTACAATAGTAGGTTAATATTTGGTTTTCTTTTTGAAATCTTTTGTTTCAAACTGTCCCAACACTTGTGCAAATTGTGTTCAATAATAGCAGTTCAAAAGATTTTTTTAAACAATCACTCTTTGACAGCAGAATGTCTTAATTACTATGCAAGGAAGATATGATTACCAGATGGCTAACAAAATTTTAATGGTATGTGTTTGTGGAACAAGCGGCTACTTTATTCACAAGATATAAAGAACAATAATTTCCAAATTACTTTCCATATATGTCAAAATTGATACCACCACCCCTGAGGTATTTGTTCTTTGGGATAGGGGATAGGAGGAGGTGGGGTAAAAGATAGTTCAAAATAGTAGCTCCTGGTGTTACCTTGTGATCACTTGAAATTTCAGAGTGGCCTCTGATTTTTTTTTTCAGAGCATTGCTTCTTATTTGGAGCTGGTGAATACCAAAGGCTTTTAGACTGTTTGAAAGCAATCCAATTTTACGTGAAAGAAACTGGGATTTCGGATCAAATCTGGTTGAGGGTTTTTGGATTTGGCAACATCTAGCAGGTTTTGATTTGCTTTAGAAGTGTGATTCAGAATGCTGTGCTACACCAGACTGTACAAGCAGAGTGAGGCCTCTGAAGAGATTCCCACGGTGAGCTGAGGACTGCCTTGAGCTAGATTAATTAAAATGTTCAAGACTGGAATGTGTTTTGGAATGGTCTCAGGACCAGCCTCAGGCACTTGAATTGGCTTAGATAGTAGGAAGGGTCCCAGAAGGAATTCTTATTTTTCCCTGTACCTGCAATTCCAATAAAACTGAGCAGGGATGGCTTTTAGGTTGTAACTCTCACCTGGGAAATGGAAGTTCAAACCTACCTCTGCAATTTGCCAAAGAAATGCACAACCGAAGGATTATAGGTGGAGATGTTTCCTTCTTGTGTTAAAGGCATGTGTTAACGTGGAGACTCACGGAGGGGAAGCCATAAACCATGTTGGTGCAAGCACATATTCTGAAGGAAGGTGGTTGGGTACCTTCCCTTCCCACCCCATGGCAATTAAGTAGCCCTGTGAGCAGAGCCTAGCATTGAGAGCTCAGGCTTAATTTATGAGAATTCAGAAAAAAACCAGACTAGAGTAGACCTTGGTAACCACAGAATGGGTGTGTAGAGTGTCGTTGAAACCCAGGAAATGTTGGAATTTTTAATTTGGGTACTTTATCGAATTAAGCAGAAGATTAACAGAAGCTGTTTTCAGGAGAAGGAATAATGATTCTTAGGCTTGGGGATTTCAGTTTTGCCTAATTCCAGCATAAATTCTGCATGTGATTATTCTGGGGAAAATGTTAGTCACTGCTCTTAATCACTAAATTGCCTTCTGGATTTTGGATAACAATACATCAGTTTAAACCTTCATGCATAAATGCAATTGCTCTCAAGATTGCCTGAATGAAACAAAGTAAAATAATCTTCTAATGACACATAGTGATTTAGGTTTTCTGGATTGTTTCTCTTGGTCAGAATTTTAATATCTTTTAAATGTATTCATAGGTAAAAACATCAGAGTTTTACCGATACTCCCGGCAGCTGCGACATGAGGTTGACCAAGCCATGAATTACTTTCATAGCGTTCACCAACAGCCTTTGATGGAAATGAAATCGAACAAAATTCGTTCTGCCAAACCCCAGACTGCAGTATTTAGAGGAATGATAGGACACAGTATGGTAAACAGTAAAATTCTTCTCTTGCACAAACCGAGGGTCTGGTGGGAACTAGAGGGTCCTCAAGTACCTTTACGACCAGACTGCCTCGCCATTGTCAATAACTTCGTGTTCTTGTTAGGTGGGGAAGAGCTGGGGCCAGATGGCGAGTTCCATGCTTCATCCAAAGTGTTTAGGTATGACCCAAGACAGAACACTTGGTTACGAATGGCAGACATGTCTGTGCCACGCTCTGAGTTCGCTGTCGGAGTGATTGGCAGGTACGTTTATGCAGTGGCTGGCAGAACCAGGGATGAAACGTTTTACTCCACTGAACGCTATGACATTACTGAAGATAAATGGGAATTTGTGGATCCCTATCCAGTCAATAAGTACGGACATGAAGGGACTGTGCTTGGTAACAAGTTGTATATCACTGGTGGAATTACATCATCTTCAACTTCTAAGCAAGTGTGTGTGTTTGATCCCAGTAAAGAAGGGACGGTAGAGCAGCGAACACGGAGAACTCAAGTGGTCACTAACTGTTGGGAGAACAAATGCAAAATGAATTATGCGAGATGCTTTCACAAAATGATTTCTTATAATGGTAAGCTTTATGTCTTTGGTGGTGTCTGTGTGATCCTGAGAGCTTCCTTTGAATCTCAGGGATGTCCATCCACAGAGGTTTATGACCCCGATACCGACCAATGGACTATACTGGCTTCTATGCCAATAGGTAGGAGTGGTCATGGTGTAGCTGTTCTGGACAAGCAGATAATGGTTCTTGGAGGCCTTTGTTACAATGGTCATTACAGTGATTCAATTCTCACTTTTGATCCAGAGGAAAACAAATGGAAAGAAGATGAATATCCAAGGATGCCGTGCAAGCTGGATGGCTTACAGGTCTGCAGCCTGCACTTCCCTGAGTATGTTTTGGAGCATGTTAGACGTTGCAGCTAAAACAGAATGAACAACCCAGTCAAATACAAAAGAGCTATACTAATTTGTTGAAAAAAATTACAAACCAATTGAATTCCTGCAGAGACTTTTCCTTCTGTATAAGAACAATGGCCAAATGCTCAAGAGAAACAGGATGTACAGGCAGTGTACTTACCAAGTTTATTAGAAAAGGTGATAGTTGGTCTGACCTTGTGAAAATTTTGTTGTTTTTTTTTTAATAAATGTAATTGTAAGTATGAGAAAAAAATATATTTTTGAGTCTGCTTTTTTTTGGTAACATTTTATGTCCACGATGTGTTCTGGTTTTTTTAATGGCCATTATACCACTATGCTTTTGAAATAAGTTCAGTTTGACAAAAATATTTGTGAAAGGAAGACAAGAAAGATGTTACTTTCATTTTTTATTGAGCATCAAAGTACAGCTCATCACATGTACTTGGGTACAGCCAGGTATAAAGTAACAAGCCAACCATTTCTGTATTTTATGTTGTCTTTTAGATGCTTTTCCTATTGACTGCAAAGTACTCTCAAATCTACTAGGTGTTTTTGTTTCCCCTTATTTACTTTGGAAAATGATTTTAACCCTTTTGCATGACCCTTTTCCTGGTTTTGTATGGCTGTACCAGTAAGTCTGCCAAAATGCAAATTACACATTTTCTACTAAATTGAAAACAAAGCATTTTTATATTCAAAATACTATTTCTATGCTGCCTTCTATTGTCTGTGTTGTGTTTGTTGGTGAGTAAAAAGATGTATACACACATGTGCATACACTGTAAAAACTGTATATAAATGCATCTTTTTATGTGCAGTTACAATATTATATTTTAACTAGTGCACAGATTCAGCCATATCTGTTGAATTTAGGGTATTCTTTCATGAGCTAAATAGTTCAAAGTTCTGAAGTGAAACTGGAAGCCTCATTTGGTATCAAAGTATCTTTAGTATATACTGATTGATCCAGTAACCTTAAAGTCTTTATATTGTTGCTACATAATGAACTGTTGGTTATTTGTTATTTTATAAATTATTTTTTAAAAAGTAAACTCATTTTACCTGAGTTTCTTTGTGGTTTCAATGTGCTGCCCAGTTTTCTTTTTTTGTTGAAATTGAAAATGTCAATAAGCAAATGCTCAGCACTGCTGTAACCCACAGTTATTTTTGGAACTGGATACTGGATATGCTACAGTTTATTGTCAATACTTTATTATACTCACACTTCAATATGAGTACTCATATTGAAGTGGTATAATATTATTATTATTATTATTTAATTAATAACTGGTAAGAACTACTGTGTTTGGAAAATGTGGAGTTAGGTGATTGGTTTGTTAGTATAATTTCTGCTTCCTTTATAAAAACCTACACAACTATGGCTACTGACCTTGGAGTGCCTGAATAGAGATGGCTGGTCCAAGAGGGCTTTGACTATTCCATTGTGCTAACTTGCAGGTATAAATGACAGTAAATGGATAAGAATTATCTGCCGAGACATAAATAATAACAGTAACTGCATTTGGACTGTCTTTGTGGATGTAAATTAGCCACTTCTAGAACCCACAGGAGAGATCTGGTGAAGCTGAAGGCTCACATGTAGTTCAGATGCTGAAACATGAGCTGCATATTTTGTAAAATCTTATGCTGCTGTGTTTCATTTTAAGCAATAGACTTTACTTTATATGCAGCAATGCAAAACCACTTTATTCAGCATCTTCCAGTCAGAATTCACTGTAGAAAAGGAATGTACAGTACTCAGGGAGTTCAAAAGAATGCACTTACAAAGGGACCAAAATCACCCTAAATTTTCTATATAAAAATAACATCTGCTTGTGTAAATGAAATTTCAAATAATAGAAGTTAAAACAATGTGTAAAACTTCTCATATTGTGTTCCTGTATCTTTGTAGGAATTATGTTTTGGGTTGAAATGTGAGTATTTGGAGCTATATGGCAAGTCAGCAGATTTTTTAGGGTTTGTTTATTGTTAGAAATTATTTATTAATTGAGTATAGTCATATGTTTTAAAAGGAGGAGGGAATGTTTGCCATCATAGCTGTAGTGATAAATTATTTACACCAGAAGGGACTGGACCAAATATTGATATTCAGCCTTCTGATGCAGACTAGTTTGCAGCTAAATTTGTCTTTTTTAATAAGAATTCAGTTTACTGAATTAGAAATCTAATTTACTTTCTTGATAGCCTAACTTAAAAAAATGTGGCTTACACTAAAACCTCAGTTTCACTGTGAGACGTGTGTACATCACCTTACATGGGGAGAGAGAAACTGACTCTGGTAGGTGCTGGCTGTGTGCTGACTGTACATAGTTCATGGAATATTGGAGCACAAGAGGAAAAAAAACAGGTTGAGGGATTTTTGTTTGTTTGTTGCGGTTGGGGTTTTTTTTGTTCATTTGTTTTGGTGCTTTTGTTATTATTTTTTTTGTCACCAGCTCATTTCTTAATGGGGCAGCAAGCTGATCCTATGTGAGGCAGCTGTCAAGGGCACGTTACATAGAGTAGAGCACTTCACTTTATGTGGGGCCAGTGCCAGTGTGGGGAGCAGCCCTGGCTCTGGGTATCTGGTGTTCAGGAGTCAGATATCTAAGAGACATGGCCAAGATTTTATTAAAAGTAGTGATAAGGATAGGGGTGTCTCAAGTTACATTTTTGAGACTGCATTTAAGCACCCTCTGAAACTCTGTGCACTCAGCAGCTGCCACTAAAGTCATTGGTGAGTGCTGACACTTGAAAAATGAAGAACCAGATGGGTTTTGGTGCTCTGCTTTTAAGCTCATGTTTATCTTCAGATGCCCAGTTCTGAAAGATCTTGTTCAGGATTGTAGTTGTAGTTCAGTGAAATTATAATTGAACTGTTGGTTTCAGCTTCCCTGAAGCTGTGTCTCCATTGAGAGGTTGGCTGTAAGCTTTCCAGCATTAGGGATGCTTGGAATTTGCTTGGGATTAGAATGGTGGGGATATGTGAGAATGTTTTGTCAGTTTACGTATCTACTGTGCTTTCATTGTTTCAGACCTGAAATATAAAAATTACCTTCACTTCTCCTTTATACTGTAATGGAACTTTTGAAACAGTTACTTTGCAGTTACTTTGGTTACTTGGAGGGATATTTTTAATTGTTTTTTTTTTTTTTTATGTTTGCTCTTAGTATTTCACTCCAGATGATTTAGTACCTTAATAGGAACAAACCTAAGATGGTTAATAAGAATTGTCTGTTACTATCAAATTTGGAGCATTATGGTCAGATTAAGATGGGTTTTAAAAAACATTTTCGTGCTTCTCATTTGTCAAGGAATAGCTAAGTTATGATCTTTGGTTATTAGATTAGGGGAGGTACTCCTATTCCCATCCCATAATGGAATACCAGCAAATCTAATGTCACCCACATATTTAAAATGCAACATATGACTTGCTTTGAAAAGCAAATGTACTTGCCTTTTTTTAGAAAAGTGGACATAATGAGTTACAATCTAGGGGTTTTTTTTTCACATCTATAGAAAAAATATATCAGCTTCATTTCTTAATTTAGCAACCAACTTCAGGAAGAAATTTTCTTTTCAAACGAGACAATGGACAAAAAGCACAGTGTTCCTGAAAAGGGACTGGATACTGCCAGTTCCCATTTCACATGCTCCTAGGTCTGGTTTTAGGGGACAGATTTTTTTTTTAATAAGTACTGCATAAAGAAAAAAATAGCTCGCTTTCTACCACAAAGCGTTGGTAGTTTCATTGTGGGGAGGCATCAGCTGGCAAAAAGAAACTTTAGGTATTTTTTTCCCCATGAATTCAGCTGGAAGAAGACCTTGGTTTTGCAGAGGTCCTGCTGTTTCAGAAAGCACTGCTAGCAAGTGGCAGCATATGAGCTACCTGGCAACCTGCTTTTATGTTACTTCTGAAAAATGTGGATGCCCTACTTCTGCAGTGTGATAGCTGTCCTGTTAGAACGAGCTCTGAGGGTTTGACTGCAACACTTCCCTGGTTCCTGAGCTTTGCAGCTGTTGATTCTTGAGGCCCTCTAGCTTTAGAATCCCAAGTGCTGCATTTCCTCATGCTGAGAATATGGTACCTACTTGTGTCAGGGATGAAGCTTCACTTGACACTCAGGAAACAAAGATAAAATTCAGCAGGTGCAAATTGAAACTGATGTAAAAAACCCTATTGCTTAACTCATGATGTCCATTCTTTAGCAAAGGGAGGGTAAGCATTGTGGGGAGACACTAACATTTCTTTAAAATAAACTTGTAGTTTGTGTCAGCCTGCATTTGTCAAAGTCTATTTAGAAGTAGTTGCATTTGTAGAGATATTTTGCCTTTTTAATATACTTTTTCTTAAAAAAATTAATAGTGAATTGGGCCTCAGATTCTTCTAACACTTCAGATGTGGACTTCACATATGTGAATAGTCCAATACAAAGAAACAGAAAACTCTAAGATAGTTAAAGGAAAACATGTAAGCACATGTGTTACTCAGCCTGTGCTTAAGAGTTTATAGGGTCGGGGCCATCAAAGAAAACAGCCCTCCTGCTAATAAATATATATATATATATAGGTGGTGAAGTTACTTGAATAAGCATCTGTCACACGTGGCAGGGTTTACCGAAGGAGAGTAGGAAAGAACATAACTGGAAAACACATCATCTGTTTAAACAGAGCTTGCTGGTGTCCTGTAGCTAACATTCTGAGATTTTCATGTTTGTTAAACAACTAAAAGCTGCTTGAAATAAATGCTAATGACTACTTTTGCATCTATATTCTATTTTTGAAAGTTGGTGAGTAACTTGAAAATTTCCCTTTTGTGTGGGTAAACTTCATAAAACAGTTGTGTGTGGCATGTGGCGGAAAAACTAATTTGTTTTGAGCACAGCTTTCCTGTGTGTCCCTCTACTAATTTTTTTACACTTCTCTAAGTTCAATTTATGTAATCTTTTAAAAATAGCTTTCAAAAATCAATTTTAAATACTTATTGGATTAATATTATGTTGGTAGCTAGGGGGAAATAATTTCTATTTGCCAATAGTGTTTATTTATGGCTCTGGTAGAAAAATCTTACTGTAAGTCTAGGAAATGAAGTGCTCTGTAGGACTGTAAAGTTAGCTATATTTAGGGGGGCTTTTATTACCTCAGAGGGACCCACCTAACTTTTATGTCAGTGTTGGAGCAGGTGAAGGGAAGAGTGAATTATGTTTTTATGTTAAATATTTTTCCCTACATATTGTTATTTTTGTAGATCTTTCTAAAATAAATTATTATATGCTGGAGATTGCAATTCCACTATAATATCCCACAATTCCAGTGTACAATATCAGATTGTTTGTATTGAAAAGAATGTATTTGATAAGTTAACAGGAAAAGTTATTTTCAAATTGTACTGTGTTTGTGTCTAGCTATTGGAAATACTTTTCCTATAGAAAATCAAAATTATATGTATATGTCCTCATATATACATTTGGATTACCTGTCTAATGATTACCCTAGGACTACTATAAACTTATCTAAATAATTTAAGAATTGCCTCTTTTTAACTGTTTTAAAGCATTTTTTCTTGTCCTTTTTTTTTTGGCAGAAAGTAATTTTCCCTTGCTATGGATACAGTATGCTCAGACTTGCATATGTGCTCTGTTTGGGTTTCAAACTGAAAAAAATGTATAAAATGTGTATAAAGAAAAGTGTAAATAAAATATTTTTAATCTTTAAACACTCTTGTGTAAACTTTGTAGTACTCAAAAATGTAGTGGACCTGGATGTGACTGTGTTCACAGGGGTTCTTGGATGAGGGAAGAGACAAGAATGTTGACTCCATGTTCAAAAGGCTTGATTTATTATTTTATTTTATATATATATATATATTTATTTATTACATTGTAACTATACTAAAAAGAAAAAGAAGGACAAGGTTTCCTCCGAAGCTAGCTAAGCTAAGAATAGAAAAGAAAAGAATGATAACAAAGGCAGGTCTCTCGGACTGTGTCCGAGATAGCTCGGTCCTTGATTGGCCGTTAATTATAAACATCCAAGATGGGCCAATCACAGGTGGACCTGTTGCATTCCACAGCAGCAGATAACCATTGTTTACATTCTGTCTCTGAGGCCTCTCAGCTTCTCAGAAGGAAAAATCCTAAAGAAAGGATTTTTAGTGAAAAGATGTCTGCGACACCTGGATTATCTTCTCCAGGACTTCAGAGATTACTCAGTTAAACAGCTCTTCAAAACTGTCTTGCTGCAATGTCTATGTAAGATTTTGTTCAAGTTGTCCCATCAAGTTGGATGTGCTTATATAAGCAATTTCAGGCTCTTCTCTTTAGCTGTATTTCAGTCTCCCCAGTCCTAATTGCTGTTCTCCCCAATCTTAATTATCTGTTCACTCTGCATTTCAGGCTTGAACGAATGTTTGGAGTTGACTTGGTTGTTACATTTGTCCCCTGGTGTGGAGTTCTGAATTCAAACTGCTGAGGCTGAACAGGCAGGGCAGCCTTTGGTGCTGGTCAGCAGCCAGGAGAGAGGTTCCCTGCTCTGGGCTCCCAGACCAGGTGTTCATCTCACCCCTGGAGCTCAGAGTGCTACAAGGCCAGGTTATATTTCCTAACATTTCCTGTAACAGGAGGGGGAAGCTTCATTTCAGGATTAAAGTGTCAGATCAGCATTCAGTACCAGGGAGGAGGAGCAGGGTGGGAGGGCAGGTAAAACAGGTTATAATCCTATTTTCTCAAGCAGTCTGATGAAAGCCTTCCTTGTCAGTCCACTGCCACACTTTTACTTTCTCTGTCACTGTTTTGTCAAGTCTCTCTCAGATCAAAGCCCCTGGTTTAAAAGTCTGCTGTCAAGAATATTTGAAAATAGCTGTGGTGTCTTTATTTTTTCCAATATTGAGTTCTGAAATAGCATTTTAATTTTATTTTAATAATTCAAATTACTTTAAACTTCATTTGCATAAAGTAACTTTCCACCCCCTCCTCCTTCCTCTCCTTTTTTAGTAACTTTTCTTCATCCTACACAGTGTACTGTTTAATGGGAGAATGCTGTGGATGAATTAACGGGGGGAAGGGCCACTTTTAATTGTAATATGTACCTATTTTGAGTTCAAAGGGAGGCTAAATGCATTAGACTGACACAGTGGAAGATGACAATCTCTTCACACTGTAGATATTACTTACATTTGGTTTTATTTGCCTTTTTAATTTCCCTTCTCAGTGAGCCAGGTTGAATTTTTGGCAATACCTTATTTCCAAGATGTCACAATGCCTGACTTATTAGCACCTCTGTAGTTCATCAGGCATCTCCAACAAACTTCCCATTATTTCACTAAGAACTGTCAGATTTTGACTGGTTCATACCAAATTCTTCACTTTGTTTTTTTTTTTTAATATGTGGCCTTAATTTTGACAGTAGTTAGTAATCTGTGTTCATTTGTTTTGTATGGTATGAAATTAATGTTATTTTGGCAAAGGGCTTATTTGGTGAATGCTTTCTATATTCTTTGCTATAAATTATTCTTGTTGACACGAAAATCTTAATTTCAACATCTGTGTTCCCCCTTTGTTATGGGTTGGGGTTTTGGGGTTCCGCTTTTTGTGTTGGGTTTTTTTTGTTTGTTCATTTGTTTCTTTTTTTTAATCCATTACCTTTATAATACAGAAAGGCAGAGTGTTGTTTTGGGTGTTGCACAGATTCTGTATCAGTTCTGTACCTTTTGAGTCCATAATACTCTTGTGGAAACGTGATCCCTTACCCACCTCTAGCCTGTCAAATCTTCCTGATGGTTCAGTGACATCCTTTAACTGAAGGACCACCTAGACCAAGGCAGCTTTCTTGGCATGTGCAAAACCTTCATTCAAGGAAGAGGGTAGGGAATATGTGTGAAGGCAGCTTCAATTTCTTGTTTTCACAAACACTTTCCACTTCTATATTCAATTCTATAGTTGTGCTGACAGCTGCTGTGGGCAATGTTTACAGGTGAAAATAAACCTCATCATGATGTCTGGTTAAGCCTGCAGGGAATGGTCAGTCATTTACCCACTGGAATGAATGCCAGCATTAACATCATAAGCTGACCCCAAAATTCTAGATTGATGGTATGTGGTATGTAAAGGAACTCAAAAAATACTCTTTGCTGTGTATCTGATGTCTTCAGATGTGTCCTGGTGGTGCCCCCCTTGGTAGCATTTCTCCTGTATTACAAATAACTGTTGTTCAATAAGTGATGCTGAATAAAATATCTGTTTTCTCATGAGATAGAAGGCTTTAATGGTTAACCCTTTTATTGCAGAATTTAATTTTACCAGACAGCTAAGTCTGTCTTTGGCTTAAAGTGGCAGCCTCCTTTCCCACAGCCTTTCCCCTATGTCTTCAGGCATGTTCTAAACATTGTTTGGACTTTTTCATGAGTTTCATCTCACAAGTTGGAGTTACACCATGTCATTTTTGTTTTTTTCTGTGTGAGAATCTTTTCTTTCCTGTGGTGAATGGTGCATGGTATGGGTCTGTTTATGGGTCTATTTGTTTACATCAATAGTACTTGAGTGCTATTGATGAGACTTTCTGACTTTACCATCTTTCTTTGTCAAAGGAATTACATCATGCCAACAGAAACCAAGTACTTCCTCTGTGTTTGAGTTCTGTAACTTCAGGGTAAGAATTCTAATGTGGTCAGTGGGTTCCTCTTGTGTTTACCTTCCCAGATTGCCCAAGTCATACAAAATGCATGGGATTGTGCTTCTGGTGTCAATGGAAGGCATGCCTTTAGTGCTTCCCCTATGTTGGTGTAGGGATGACCTTTATTTTCACTCCTGCAAAGCAAGGAGTTGCTCTGCTATCATTCTCCACCTCTCAGAAAGCCCTCCTGGCAAATTCATTCCCAGGAATAGTCCAAGATCCTTAGGTGTCCTTGGTCAGCTGAGGATGTTCCATAGGATTTGCCTTGTGCCACACATGCTCTCACTTCTTCCTCTGGCTCTTACAGGTAGTTCTGCAAGGAGTTATTCATCTAACACAGGTGGCAACTTGATACCAAGAACTGAATTTTAACTTAATATACTGAAATCCAAAATACCAAAGTTTCAGAAGAAGATGTTTCAGAGGGCAAAAGCTTTATTTAAAATCTATATATTTCTTCTCCTGTGGATTTGGAGTTCATTTAATTGCAATCAGGAAGTTACTGTCAAATAATAACTTTTCCTAATCATTCTCCTGACAGATTATCCAAAGCACTGCAAAGCATTATGTAGTCAGAAGGAAAAAAAAGGTGATGATAATTAACTGAACTGTAGCTTTTAGTTGAATTACTTTTCATGGTCTTAAAATTGGGAACTGATCCAATTAACAGCCTTCTTGGAAGTGTTTTAGCTGTTTTCTGAAGGAGGTGGATTTTGGCTTAGTGCTGTTCTTTAAAAACAAGGGGAGTGAGATTGACCTCTATGTAAGTTAAATAAACTAAATACCTTAGCCAAGGAAATCTCAGTACAAAATTGTTAACACCCAAGTAATAACCAACTGTACTCTGCAGAACTTATGCTCCTTAAAAAGTGATCAGAGTTTCTCAGTTTTAGTTTTGTCCTAGCTTTGCTGTGCAGAGATTTTTATTTTTCCCATGGTAAAAATCAATTACAAGAATGTATTTTTTGCTAAACTTGTTAAACCGGAGTAGAAAGCCACAGAGAGATCTGCTCTCAGATCTGCAGCCTTGTTCAAAGCAGGGCAGAACACATTAAAGTGGCTGGATGGGTTAGCAATTTTCCAGTACTTTAACTTTTGATGATTTATGCATCTGCTGCAGATGGAAATAATCCAATATCCTCCAGAGATAATGCCTGGAACCAGACATACAATTTACCTGTTTCATATTCCCATTTTCTGTAACAATGGATTGATCCCTCAGGCTTTTCAGTTCATGAAATTGCCGCTCTTGATGTTCAGCAAAGTTGCTCCTATTTGTAACACCCAGTTTCTGGGCCTGTGTGGTACCCTGCATTGCTACATGCAGAGAGGAGGGAGAACCTATTTGATCACACTTGAGAAATGTGACATTTTTCTCATCTATACAAGAGCCAAAGCAAGCTAAGGCATTGTTTTTTGGTGTGCCAGCATCATATTGTACTAATTTATGAGTCTGAGGAAGTAGTTTCAAATGCTGTGCTGGATAGAAGCAGTTAAAGTAAAGACTCTGTCAGGCTGTGCCCAGTGCCCTGTGCCCCCTCGGTTCCTGCACCATGAGCTGCAGTCATGCCAGCCATGGCCCTTCTCCAGAGGGAGTGGGAGGTAGGCATCAATGGTGTCAGAGAGGAGAAATGGTGGATAATATGTGTTCAACAGATAAGGGATCATTAGGGGAAAGCACTGAAATGACTGCTTTCATTAGTGATTGTGAGACACCTGTCCTAGAGTTTCCTAAATGCACTCCAGCACTAAGCTTGTGTAAGGTTGGTGTTGCTCCCCTGTGGCAAATGCTCCTAGAAAGGAAGCAATGGTGGGAGCCACCAGATATGATGGAGTCTTTATAAATATGAGGCAAAGGAATGCAAAGGTGCAAACCCAGCCTGAACAAAGGCTTTGGTACCACAGAGCAAGGAACTGCAGAAGGACTTCCTGACTAAGGAGTGCTCTGCACAGAAATCAGATTATGTCCCAGAAAGGGCATTTTGCTTCCAGAAGGAATGGGTACCTTTAATTGAAAATTATGTGGTAGACCTAGAAACTTGTTTAGGTAAATAATGTACTACATTTATGCATGTATATTTATGAATATATGTAAATCAGTACATTTACAGGCAAATGAGGTAAAGCTATTCAAATCACCTTGCTAAGAAATTAGGGATTACTGTGAAAATAATTTTTTAAGGTAAAAAAAATTCATGCAGAAAATATATACAGACTGGCAACAGATGCAAGACCTTTCATCTTCTAGCCTCAGTTGATTTCCAGAATGTATCCTGTTCAACTGAAATCTGAGGTGCACTTGAATTGTGAAAGGAGCTGAATTTTGTTCTTATGAGTATTTAAGGGCATCAAAAAGCTGTTTGTCTTTTCACTGCTACTGGTAGCCTGTTACCTGTGCTTGACTAGGCAATCCACACATCTCTGTTGGTGGTATCAACAACCTGTTAACAGAATGACAGAAGAATTACTCATTGTGGCTGGAAGGAGCAGCTGAAAAATTTGGAACCAGAGCTCCTGGTGGCTGCAGCAAGAAGCCAAGGATTTGAATTAGGGAAGGAACGTTTGGGGTTTTAACCATGATATATCAAAAGTGAAATAGGTGCAGTTGGATTATACTGGGGTTTTTGCATTATGTATGTCTCTCTTCTACCTGCCTCTTGTCTTATTTTATAGAATCTTTATTTGGAAAGCACAGAGTGTATTTTGGATGCTGTCAAAATGTGACAAAGCTGGTGAGAAAACAGGTGCTGAAATTCGTCCTGGTTTACCTCAGATGTGAATGCAGTAAAGCCTTTGCTGCAATTAAAGGTAGGTCAGTGGGAACGCACAAATAGCTCTGCAATGGCATCTGTTCTCAACAGCCAATTTACCTTCTGAACGTGTGAATTCAGACCTGTAGCTTCCAAGAAAGTGCCTTTGACAAACGTCGAAAACCGACCCACCTTAGCTGTGAAAAGAAAAAGCACGGGGTAAGTTTCACTCTAAATAAGATGGTATCATTAAATACAAAAGCCTGTTCAATTTCGGTTTGTTTTTGTTTTTATTTCGGAAGTGAGTGAAGTAGAAAGGATGAAGGGGTATTCTTAAGGATATGCAAACTACTCCCCCTTCACAAAGGCATTGTGAAAAGCGTCATCATGCACCCAATAAAAGCCAGTTCAGTTAGCTGCCTAACAATTATGTGCTAAAAGTGACAGGAACCTGAGGAATTGATCATGGCTTTGCAGACCCGCCCAGCAAAGCTGTGTGCCTGCCATGGCCCCCCCCATGCCTTGTGTGGGCATTTCCAGCACCAGGCTCACAGCATTGGGTGAAGCTGCTTAACAGCTGAAACTGAATTTACTGGAGCCCTTGTGGTTTGTGTATTTCCTATTAACTACATCTTTTCAATGACCTTGAAGAGAGAGCTGCCAAACAACATTCTTTCCACTTACAACACAAACAGAAAGCTCTAAGAGGGGGAATAGCAGTTTATTTTATAAAGACATCAAAACCCGATTCTGAACAGGCTGGCAAAACTGTAGTGATGAGTCATGGTATTTTTTTAAAAGAAATTGTTTTAATGTGAAAAGGTGCATGGGAAAAAATGGGGGATGTTGGGGTTGGTTGTTTGGTTTTTAATATACAAGAAGATTTATCATGAAGGAGAACATCAAAATAAACCAGCCTTCCAGAATGACAATGTTTTCCAGTAATCAGTGTGAGTAGGTAACTTCATTGGTATTTTATGGACAGATGTTACACACTCATATTTTAACATTAATGTGCAACAAATCAATTTTTTCCCTACAGTTATACATGTGTGGCAAAGAACTGTAAGTGTATTAGTAGTAAAAGACTGATCTTATTTTCCTGACCAAAAAATAAACTGTAAACAAGCAATCTAGTACAACATTATGAAAGCTCAGACCATAATGCCTAAGGCATTGGATTAAGATCAAGTTTCTTAAATTGTATTTCTGCCTGTGATTACATAGTTTATGAACTGTGGTGACATTTTCAAGCTTCTCTGAGCTGCAGTTTTCTGAGGGAAATGTGTCTTTCACAAGTATTTAGAAAAGCCAATTTTCTAAAAATACTGGCATGCAAAATCAAACTGAAATTTGCTAGAGGTCCTTATATTAGAAATAGCCAGGAGTCAGTCATGCCAAACCTCTTTATTCTGTGGCCTCAGCAGCAGAAACTTCAGCTCCTTTTTAAGCCTGTCTGACAGTGTTTTGGACTGTGCATAATCCATTATGGCATATTTTATCTTTGTCCCAAGGAAATTTGGCAGGGACAACCTCCTCCAGTTTCAGAAAAGACTACTGCTACATGAAAGCAAACATATTTGTATTGTTCTCTACAAAGGTTATCCCATTTATTTTAATCAATCTAATTTTAAAAATTAATATCCACATTAATGAAAAAAGTGCACTGAAGATGCCTGAGCTAATAAAACTATTTGGATTAATTTTTTTTTTGAAACAACCATCTGTTCTTCAGATATTTAAATGTGTTACATAATTGTATTAATAGTTGCTGTATAGCCACTACATATAAATTGACGACAAAAATACATATTTGTAACATTCACACCATTTTATGTCCAGAAAGAATCGAAATGTTCTTTACTGTTCATGTACCAAACTTAAAAAGTGTATTTGAAATATTCTTATGTCTGCTCCCTGCAAAAATTGAGGAACAGTTGATCCTACCCATGGTATGAGACTTAGCTTTGGTTGAGAACTAACCAGGGCAGGTGCCATTATTCACCTTGATGTTATCGCTCCTCTTGTGGGATCACCTGTAATTTTGAACTTTGAACATTTTCTTTCTCAAACTCCTTGAGAATTATTATTAAAATACATCAAGAAATGCAAGTACTTTGCAAACTACACCATCATTCCACATCCTGACAAAACCTCCACAAAATGCTGCAAAATCAGTTTCCATATACATTTGCCTCACTCTGGCTGCTTATATTCTGTAAATGTAACTGATTGTGCAAAGCATGATGCAATGGAGAAAGAGGGCAAAGAAAGAGGGCAATTAGTGTTCCTCACTGATTGGTCATTTAGGTACCTTTTAGGTTTAACTTTTCCATGCTAAAATCTCTATAACCAAATCCATAATAAAATACCAGTATTGTCTGTGGGTACTGGAGCTCACTGTGTACCATTTGTTCCTGGTATTTCTGCTGTCCCATTAATTTGCCTGATAAGGAGCATTGCCCAGTTCTGCAATGCAGTGGTTAAACTTCTTCCTGCTATAGCTGCTTCTGTTAGGTCTATAAAGAATCTGCAGTAAAGAAATTTTAAGAAGGAACAACAAAAATTATCATCACAAAGAAAATCGTGCAAGGGTGCCTACCTTGTCTGTCTTTCCACAGTACTGTTCCTGATGAAGTGTTTGCTACCACATTCTTCAGGTGATTCACCTTTTGCATTAAAATTCTAACAACGTTTTCTAGGACTAACATGGTGCTATTCATATTCTAAAATCAATATTAGCTTTTTTTCAAGAAACTATGTTTCTATCTCCAGGGATGGTGACTCCACCACCTCCCTGGGCAGCCTGTTCCAAGTCCATTTTCTGACAGAAAGTTAGCACTCCTCATTTCTGATACTCATCTCCCACTGAGTTTCAAGTCAGTCACTGTGGGATGTACACAAGACCCTCCCTTGCTGCAGATGTGAGCATTAAAAACTTGTACCTGTCCAACTCACTCAAGTGAGCTGGGAGATGTCCCAGGGGATGCAGAGGTGAAAAGTGTAAAAATACTGGGAAAAGAGTGCTTGATTTTTATTTATTTAATTTTTAATATGAGATAGGCACAGAACGCTATCCATACACTAGCCCCATTGTGCTGCTTTTGGCTGGGGTAGAGTTAATTCTCTTTACAGTGGCTGGTATGGGGCTGTGTATTGGATCAGTGCCGAACACAGGGTTGATAATACAGAGATGTTTTTGTTATTACTGAGCAGGGTTTGCATGGAGCCAAGGCTTTTTGTGCTTTTCATAAGGCCAGGCTGGTGAGGGGCAGGGAGTGCATGGGAGGAGACACATCTGGGACAGGTAACTCCAACTGACAAAAGGGATATTCTGTCTTCAACACACGAGTAACAAAACCATCTCTGTATTATCAAGCCTGTGTTCAGCACTAATCCAGTACATAGCTGCTGTGAAGAGAATTAACTCTACCCCAAGCAGAACCAGCGCAGCCATCCACGTTTCTCTGGCAGAGACAGAGGAGCAGTGGAGCTGGCGGGGGCCCGGGGCAGGAGTGCTGTGAGGGGGAGCTGCGGGTGCCCAGGGTGTGAGAGGGGCTCGGGTGCCTCCATCGCCCTCGCCGGCTCCCGGGCAGGAGGGGGCGGCCGGCTGGGGCTCGGTCTCTTCTGCCAGACAGCCTGCGACAGGAGGAGAGGACACAGCTGTGCCAGGGAAGGGTTGGGTGGGACATCAGGAAGAATTTCTTCACACAAAGGGTGAGTAGGCATGGGAATGGACTGCTGTGGGGTCACCGTCCCTGGGGGGGTTAAGGAAAGGCTGGACGTGGCACTCAGTGCCATGGTCTAGCTGACAGGGTGGTGTTCGGTAACAGGTTGGATTCGACGCCCTCAGAGGTCTTTTCCAACCTAACTCATTCCGTGATCCTATGACTGATCCTGTGATCTCTGAGCGGCCGAACCTTCTCTGTAAAGGCTGCAGGGTAACACACGGAGCCATGCCGCGGGGCTGAGGGCTAGTGTGTTAGCGCTTTCGGCCCTCCGGCACCACGTTTGTCCCACACGAGCCCTGCGGCGCCATTCCCGAGGGAGCGCTCGGACCCCTCCGCTTCCCGGCCAACGCCTGCAGCGGGGCGGGGCGGGGCCGCCGCGTGACGTCACGCCGCGGTGACGCCATCGCCCCGTCGCCGCGCGCCCGGCGCCGCCATGTTCAAGGTGAGGAAGGGTCCCCGCGCCGGGCCGGGCCCGCGGCGCTCGGGGCCCCCCGCGCCCTTCTGCCTCTGTGCTCTCCGCACGCTCCTGGGGCCGCGCTCCTTGCAGCTGCTTAACCGCTCCTTTTAGCGCTTCGGAACCGCGTGCCCTCCGTGCTGCATGGAAAGAGGCACATTCCTGAGTTAGAATTGCTTCTGGGCTGCAGCGGCGCTGCCGCAGAGTGCGGATCGGTGCCTGCACCTTCTTTGCAGTGGCTTCTTATTTTGAAATTGCTTCCAGCGGCGTGGAGCTGTGGTACTGCAGTGTTTGGGTTCGGGCAGTTGTCGCTTCAAAGTGTCAATTCGATCTTGAAAAGTCTCCCTTTTAGTGCGTGAAGGTTGTCTGTGGGAGCTGCGGAAAGCACGGTCCGGCTCTCGCTGTCTCAGAGGTCTTTGCCTCTGATCAGAGCAGCCTCAGATCCCGAGATCAGGCTAAAAGCGAGCTCTGTGCCAGTCAGGTCGCTGTTACGGCTGCTTGCTTAAAAAACCCAAAACAAACCACCAAAACCTGGTGATGCTCGATTCTTGGTATTCGTTTTCCTTGGTACCATTTTCCGAGTGAAATGCTGATAATATCTCTAGATACCAATATACTGAGTATACTAAATACTAATATATAATTGAAACACAAGAAGTTCAACATGAGGAAGAACTTCTTTACGTTGAGGGTGGCAGAGCACTGGAACAGGTCCCCAGGTCGTGGAGTGTCTCTGGAGGCGTCCAAAGCCCACCCACCTGGACATGTTCCTGTGTCACCTGCTCCAGGTGACCCTGCCTTGGCAGGGGGGTTGCACTGGGAGATCTCCAGAGGTCCCTTCCACCCCTGACAATTCTGTGAGTCTGTGGTACTGATGTGCTGAGCCCTTGCTTGCTCTGCTCATGTCACAAATTCCGTGTTCTTTTTGTGCTTTAATGTTGGAATTCTGTGCTCAGAATCATTGAGAATTCCATAATTGTCATTAGAAGGTTTATCTGTGGGCCTGTGCATTTAGGCACTATGTATATTAGTATATTAATACTTTTATACAGCCAGTGAGGATTTAGGTGCTTCAGGCCAACCTGATGTTATGCCTCCAAGAGTCAAAGGGAAGGTGGCTTTTTGTCCAGGATATTTGTGCTTCAGGGACAGCAGTGTTCAAGAATTTGGGTTTTGGTTATACATTTTTATAGTTCGTGGGGACAAGTAGGAGGGAGAATTGAAAAGATGAGAAAAATGAAGTGTTTTCATACCTTAGGACCAGTATCTGCCTTCTCAAAAGTATGCTCAAGCTTTTCCTATCTGGTGTCTAAAGATAAAGTTGAATTCTTAGCTAGAGAGGAGTAAATGTATCTTTTTTTGCTTAAAATAACTGCAGAGCATTGCCAATGGAAAAGAATGTTGGCTCTGCTTTTCTGATACTGAGTGGCTGTGAGACTGGCAGGCTGAAGGCACAGCTCAGTCAGTCCAAATGTTTTACTAAAGCAATTGATTCAGTAATATGTGATTAGTATGGAATTCAAAAATGAGATCCTAAAGGGAGTTTTGGAAACAAAAAGTACAGCAGTTGATCTTTCATACTCCCAAATACTTCTGTGTATGCAAATATGCAGTATTTCAGCAGCAGTTCTGTCTGTCCCATAAGGCAGCTGATGTAGGAGACCATTGCAGTATGACTTGAACAGCACATTTAAGAAGAGATTCAACTTGCACTTTCAGAGGTTAGTTTCATTTTGTTAAAAATTAAAACCAATGGAAAATGTCTGCACTTCATTATCTTGATAATACAAACAGTTAACATTTCAGTCTGAGTATTTTGTGATCACTGATGCTGTTTTGTGAAACCCAGGTGCTTCCAGCCTTGTGCTCTGCTGTTTGTGTCTTTATATAAAAATCTCAAATATCCAAAACATTTGGTTTTACTGTTTCTACTGGTGACACTTAGCACCATTTACACTGTTTGAAAACATATTTCTGAAAGAAAATGCATTTAGATTTTTGCCTTTTCAGTGACAGTTTTGCAGTGAAAAAAGGAAAGATTGAGGAAATAAACTCTACAGCTATTAATGGTTAGTAGCATTTGTTTTTGTCCTGGCTAGTGGAAGTATGTGAAAAGTATTTAAGCAAACACTATCAAAGATTATCCTTGTCTTTCCTTGGCTGTGAAACAGCTGATCCAGTCATTGTGGTGTTTCATTTATAGTGATTTAGTAACGAGTCCATAAATTCAGACAAGGAAAAACTTCCATTTTAAGCAAGTTTTTCCATACCTTTAGACCCATCAGATCCCTTATGTCTTCCAGAAGAGCAGTCCTGTGACCTAGTTCTTGTGTGCTGTTTCTCTACACCCAAACCAGCATTTTCAGGAAGTTTGACAACTGTATAGTCCAATTTTTCGTTTGAGGAGTCTATTGGTTACATTTAATGGATATTCCACCTGCAAGGCAGCGGAAGAAATTTAAGCTGCAAATGCTTGACTGCCTACAATAAGCTGATGTGGTGTGGATAATTTTAAAGCTATTTTCTAACAGTTCTGCAACAGCCAGAAAGAGCAATTGTGCCGTGGCTGGGCCAGTTACCACCATCACAGCATGGAGGAGGGGTGGTTTGACCATGGCTTCGGTGTCACAAGCAGCTAGGTCAAAGCCACAGACCCTGCTATTTGTGGAAGGGAAGAGGCCTTGCTGCCTTCTCCTTTCTCAGCCCCTGTCCCCACAGCTCCTGTGGTGCTTGTCAGGCTGTTTCATGGAAGGGCTCCATTTGCTGACCTGCACAAAGCTCTCCCTTCTCTTGCAGGATTAATCTTTTGCCAAATTGGCGAGGTGAATTGCCTCACGGTGGGAGCCTCCGGCCACCAAAGCTAGGGCAAGGTGAGCAGCAGCGCTTCTGGGAAGCAGTGCTGGAGAGGAGCCAGACGCCTCCAGTTTGGTGTTAGATCCACTCGAGCTGTAACCTGATCCAGCAAAACACAGGCTACTGTAACTCTGAGCAGTAACAGGAGTACGAGACACTGAAAGCTTTCCCATTTCAACTGACGTTTCTGGAGTTGTACTTTGCTGTCAAAAAAGATGTACATTTGCTGGAAGATGCTCTCTCGGCATCTTGATTTACTCTGCAGCTAAGATTTTTATTTCTTCTGTTTTTTTTTAAGTTAAAGCAGACTTTCCCATTAAGAAATTCAGTTTAGCATAGGTCCTGAATATTGGAAGAACTATATCCATCCACCTTACTCATGGTGGTTGTATTGTGTGATTGGATTGATTTTAAGTATTCAAAAAACAGTCAAGTAAATCATGTTTCTTACAGAAAGTAGGAGACACTCCTAAAATTCTTAGAAAGTATTGATCTTGTTCTGGTATTTATAGCTGTAGGTCTCATTGTTTTCCTAAATCTATGTGCAGATATTAAGTAGAAGTAAAACACTGAACTTCTTGGTACTAACTATGGAAAAATGGAGGTATTATGGGCATACACAAAGTTGTTTAAAATATAAATATAATCTTGCTATTTAAACTAAGAAAATTAATACAATAATTACTTTAATCTAGAAAAAATGAGATCTTTTTTGTGAGATGAAAACTGATGAGATTAGCATTTATTTCTACTGCCTCCTTTAGCCTTAGGCTTTTCCAATTACCACCTGAGTGATTTAGGTGTTACCGTATCAGTGCCTGAGAGCATTGGATTGTGTACTGCTGACCCTCCTTTCTCCTAATTTCCAAGCATCTGTTGAGATCCCTTTTTACCATGTAGAGGGACATGAACATTGTCTGCCTGGATGTGTTCAGCCACGTTGCAGTTTTGTTTGCACATACTGATGTTCTTGTCCTCGGTAACGTTTCCAGGTAATCCGGCTGGGGGCCGCCCCTGTCAGCCTGAGCTTGCTCTCTGTCCAGGTTTATGCTGCTTCCTCAGAGAAGACTTCCAAAAAGGAGTTACTGAAAATTGAGGAGGTAAGTGTGGTTAGAGTCTTAGTGCTCTCCTATCTAAAGAATTCTGGAAACATTGTGTTTTGATGTGTGAAAGCTACATCTTGTCACCTTTTGTATTCATGCCTTCAAATTTGCTTCTCAGTTTTCCTCAACAGAGATGTCTGTACAGTTTTGCTTTTACCTGGGCATGGCATTTGATGTTCTTCACTTGATAGGGCCAGGCTTGTTTATGTGTAAAATATTTTTCCTACATTAAAGTCTTTATTCTTCATTCAGAAATTAGATTTTCATGTTTGTAGATTTACTTATGGTTATATTTCAAGTCCACAGGAATATTTTCTTTCTTTTTTATCCAGATAATACCACTTACTTTTTACTGTTAGTAGTGTTGGTAAATTCTAATAAAAATTCATGTATGTTCTCCACTAAAACAGTGAATCAGAATGTTTTCTTTCTAAAAATGTTGTCTTTTTTTATTATCAAAATTCTTGTCTGGCAGTATTTGGAATCCATCATAGTAGCCTGCAGAATTTTATCAGTTTTCCTTTCTTCACATTATTCGGACCTAAGCAATAACAAATACAATAAGTAGTGGTAATACCTGTTATGTTTTCATTTCTTTAAGATGTTACAAATGTCTTGGTTTTAAGTCGAGCCTTAAAATACCCTGTCAAACTCTAGACTCAGCAGCATTGTTACACAGGCTTTTAAAAGTCTCCAACACTAAAAAAATCAAAATAAGTAGTTCATAACTAAATCCAGCTTTATAGGCATGAGAGCATTTAGCTGTTTAAAAGTTTTGACTACTTCAACCCAACCCTGAGTGTTGTGCCATAAGCACTGGAACTAAACCAGACTGGTGTTGTGCACACTCGGGTGTTGTGGCTGGCAGTTCTCTTGTGCAGTGAGAGGAGCTGCAGTTGCAGTGCCCACTCATGAGAGCCTCAGCCTGGGCCCAGCCTCTGCTGGCCTGAGTCAGCCCTGAGGCAGCAGCCTGGAGCTCATGTCAGCTGAGTAATGGGCTTGCCATCAGCTCCAGCTCAGCAGAATGTGCAAGCCATGGACTTCTGGCTGCCTTTCTTGCCATTCACAGGCTCTTAGTTTGGATCTCTACTGTGTCAGCTGTCTAGTTTCATAAAATATATGGGAATTTCCTTATCTCTGAGACTTCTGTCCTCGTGCCAGGCATTGCTGTTAGGTTGTCCAACAGGATCAAAGTTCAGCTTGTGACTGTGATTGCCAGGGGTGACCTGGTTTCCTAGGGAAGTGAGACTGAAAATCCTCATCTTTTGAAGTATTACAGGAAATCCAGCTGCACAAGTTACCAAATTATTGGATAAATTTGTTGTAATTTTGTATTATGTTAGGGTTACCAGCTTTTTTAATTATGACATAGCTGATCTTGAAAAGAGAGCTAGCTACATTTTAATGCTTGTAATCATCAGATTATAATAAACTACTAAATGGAGTATAAATATGGTGTAAAATATAAGCTCTTTATACTGAACATCTGTGTAGTGTATAAACTGCTAGAGATTTTAATAGGTTTTGTTTTGTTCTGAGCTTTGCTGTTCAGCAGTACAAACTCAGGGTTTTTTTAATGGAATACAGTTTCAAATATGCTTAGATAATTGTAGTACATGTTGTGGTGATTCTAAACCCTAAACAATGTGATTTAGCCTTTATTATGTGAAGGTGCCCATTGCTCATGACAGTTCCTCTTTGCTCAGTGCCAGGGTGCCATTAATGCTGTCGGTTGCTGATGTGGTTAATGACCAAAGGTTGGGATGTTGGACCCTTTTCCTGCTCAGTAACAAACAGGCACATGTGGATTGGATGTTACCTTTGTTAGAAGCTGCTTAGGCTCTTTAATGATGCCTTGTGCATATATAGAAAATGATTGATTGTCATTTCTAGTACATTCAGTATGTTAACTGGGAACCAGAAGTGCTGATTAAGGTGGGAAACATTTTTCACAAGTATGTTGTGTGTTCATATTAAACTAGTTTAATATTAATTTATAACTTGTGACTTGGATCATATAGCAGCTATGAATGAATTGTATAGCAGTTAGAAGTCATCTTCATCATAATTATGTGCTGTATAATTAAACTTTGCTCATAATGGTTGTCTCAGAGCTGTGTGAATTTTTATTATGCATTGTTTATGTAGTAAGCACAGTGTTAGGTGTTCTCTGCTTAGACTGTTCATGCCCTGAAGACCTACTTACACAATTACACCTTTGTTTTTAACATCTTGTTTGCTAATATTCACAGCTGTCACTGTACTCCTCCCCAGCTCGTGAGACTAAATATGTGGAGAATCCCAAAACAGAATTGGAAGAGGGGGTTTCCCGTTTGCGGCATGTTATGGAGCCATATACAGCCTGGTGTCAGGTACAATGGTTTGTATTGCAGCTGCTGATGCTTCAGGGGTAAAGTTCCAGCTGGGATTGTGGTTTGTTTTTTCTGACTTGGAATTAACAGGTAGCAGCAAAGTAAAAGCTGATAGCTGTAACAGCATTTTTCAAAAATGTGGCATCACTGAAAGTTTTCTGCATTGCATAAAATTTTCCACAGTTCAGGTCATAATGCTTTCCCCCTTCTCACACAGAACCAGCTGTGTGAGATTTATACTAATTTGCTGAACTAAACCCTGGGTTTAGGGGTTCTCCTTCCAAAAGACTTAAAATTAACTAAAGCATAGAATTGTTTTCTGAAGTGAACTTTAGGCTTAAATATATCTAGGGATGTCTGGATTTGGCACTGGTTCTGTGGCTGAGGAAGATAGGAGAGTGGTATTTGCAGTTTTCATGCTCAAGGAGGCCTTAAATTATCAAGCAGTATGTTTTGGAGCAGCGAAAGCAAGTTGCCCTCGCTGCAACTGTGACAAAACACAACTTAGCAAAAAATAAATCAGTGTTTGCTGAACTGGAATGTTGAGGGAAGGAATGCAGCTCTCTGGAAGAGAGAAAATTCCAGGCCACTAAGTATTGGTAAACCTAATTCCCAGACTTTGCCCCAAAACTTTCTCATATATATTTTATTAGGTAGTAAGTTTAGAGTAAATAGTCATTAAATACAAAAATAGGCTCTGTAGTGGAGAGGAAAACCAAGATTTTTGTGATCAAGGCCTAAATTCTTGGTGTTAGATTGCAAAGCCCCGGGAGAGCTTTCTTGCTCTTTCCTGCCCAGGAAATGTTGAGGCTTATTTTGAAGTGAGGGAATCCTTGCCCTGTGGCTGTCTCTGGGCAGCTGTGGGTGATTCTGTGCTTTGCCCTCTGCCTGTTGTGAATCTGCTTGAGCTGCCAGCTGTGTGCCCAACTCTCCACTGAAAGCTGTTCAAGCTGTTCAGATTCAGACTGGGGTGTCCTTTCTGCCTGGAAGTTCTGTGTGGTGCTGCCTTTAACAGGACTGAAACATTTTTTCAGGGTTCCTCAGTCTGGTGTTTCAAGTGCCCCCAGCAGGAGCCCTGGCTGCAGTTTGGCAGGGGAAGGGGTTTTCACAGGATAGTCAGAGCTCTGGCTCCTGAGTACATGGGTTGGCTTGGTTGCCTGTGGTAACCCTAACTGAGAGTGAAATTGGAGAGGAAGTTGGCCTTTAACTGTGCCTGATGTCTCGCTGACCTGTTGTCATCCTGTTAGTTTTATTTTTTTTGTCTGTCTGGTGATCATTGACATAAGATGTGCTCTTCTGCTCACACACAAGAAGCCATTTCCTGGCAGTGGTTTACTGACTCATTTTATGAAGTGGGCATGTAAACTTTATGGGTTTGGGGTAATATTGCTTAACTCTGGTCAGAGGTAGCTTTGATTTTACACCCCCTGCCCATCCCTGCTGTGTTGAAGAAAATAGTATTTAGGTGTGTCTCAGTTGTCTTTAAAATCAAACAGATAACCCAGGATGAAATTGGTTATGTTTGTATATCCATTTTACTGATCCATAATCAGAATGAAATTGGTTATGTTTGTATATCCATTTTACTTTTCCAAAATTATTTAACTGTAGTGGAAATGCAGCTCAAACCTCAGATGTAGAAATGAGCCAGTTATATTTCAGCCAGTTATGACAGAAGATCAGACTTTGTCTTTGGGATCTTTAGAGCAAGTTCTTCTTAAATTGTCTTTTAATAAGACTAACATCCATTTAAAGTTATGTTGTGTGTCACATGCTAACACTTTTTCATTTTCACGCTGGGTGGGTTTTTTTACATCACTCTTGCCAGTGAGGAGATGAAAGTTCTAAAGATATCCCCATACAATATCCTAAAGAAATGCTTTCACTTCTGCACAGGTGCAGTTCAGGTAGAATTGTAAGACTATTCTCTGCTTCAGCTTTGGGCATATATGTTTAATTATTTGTTCCCTAATTTGTATACAGTTTTACACAGTTCCTCTGAAGCATTATTAGTGTAAATAACAATTAGCAGGGTTCTTTTTGAGATTTTTTTTTTCTATTTGGATAAAAGGCAGTGTGCTTTCTTTTTATTTCCTGAATATTCTCAGTCTGAAAAAAATGTAGAACTGGTCTGTGGGGTTGATGCAGTGTCTTTGATTTGCTTTGGACATCTAGGAACATCTAATTTTCCAAGTCACTTCCAAATGCAGTGTTGTTAGTGTAAGACAGTCTCCTGGAAAGTGGAATTTATCACCTTGCAGAATGAGTCACATACCCCTTTCTTCTTTTCTTTGCATCACCTCAAGTATTTTTGCAATACCTGTATACACTGAGAAACCCAAGATAATTCTGAGTTTCAGGTGCCTGATCTCAATAAAATACTGAGATTGATGTCTGTGTTTTGAAGCACTGTATTTTATCTCTCTCCAAGGAGTCCTTTGAGAAAAATCTGTAAGTTATGCTAAATGTAACATTGAGCAAGCATAGCCCTATAAATGATGGGTGGAAGTGGGAATAAAAGTTATTTTAGAGACCCATCACTTTTTTCTTTCTTGTTGTTTTTATTTCTCCTTTCTTTGTCAGCTCAGTTACAGTCTATAGTTAATATTTTACTTACTTGGTATCTATTTACCCTTGTTCTCTCTTTTTTTTTTTAGGATCTTTATGCCAAAGCTGTGCCCAAGTTAGAAAAAGCTGTTGAGCATGGTAGAGGTAAATCAGCTTAGTTTTCTTAACTAGCAATTTAAAATGCAGGACTGTACTATATCTTCAGTTTACAGAGAATTCCATTAAGCATCATTGTATGTATAATCTCTAATGCATTTAAGACTAATTTATTTCCATTGTGTATCTGTTTGAATTTCCTTTGTGGGTCACCTATGACACTAAATTTCTAAGCAATTAAAATCTGAGACCAGCACTTATGTTTATCAGTGTCACTAAAAATTAATTATGAAGGAAGAGAAGGGGAAAACCCCTCACAATTTATTCCCAGCCAGCAGTATTTGCTTGACCCAGCTCAATAGCTGAAACCTCCTGTAGAGTTTATTATTTGTTGCAAGCATTAGGTCTTTTGTTTGTAATGTTTAGCCTTTTCATTTTGGTTTGCTTCCATGGATCTCCTAAGAATTTTGAATTAATCCAAAATAATTTTAATTTGTTTTTATTTTTGGGAGCATCCTCTCACACATGGGCTTACCAGGACTGAGCATGGATTCTTTGTAGAGCTCATTTCAGATACTGCACCTCTTTTCTTTAAACTTAGCAGTTTCAGTCTTCTGAACTTGTTAGCATGGAAGATTTTCTATAGTTTTCCATTCCCCCTCCGGACTCCCATCTTAGAGTGCACTTTGTTTTTGCTGTGTCTTTCCATTGTTCTCTGGTTTGGTTTTTGTACAGTATTTTACTGAAACTAGTTATTGTTAAAGTGTAACTGTGAAATTCCATTTTGCCAAAGTTTTTATCACTAATTTGGAAAAGACACGATTGAGATGCAAAGAGCAAAACAAAACAGATGGCCCAGGAGCAAAGGCAAAGCTCCTATGAAAATTGGTGAATACAATACAATATTCAGTTTCATTCATGTGTCACTAGAGAAGAACTCAAAGGCTTTGAATTTTTTGCCAGCATATCTAAAATGAGCATGATAGTTAAATGTGTTTTGATAACTCTTTGTGTTTTGTAACAATTGCCAGCGTGTATTGATGATTCCTTATCACAAAAACACTTTCACATTACATTAAAGCACTTTGTTCTGGCTTCTTTTCAGAGGGCTATGAATTTCTTCAAAAACCGCCTGCTGGATTCTATCCAAGGCTTGGTGTGATAAGTTTTGCTGGAATTATTGGATTGTTTCTTGCTAGAGGTAAGTGGGAACCATTTGGACTGGTTAACTGACAATTTTGGATAAGTAATTTTTGTGGGTTTTAGGGTACTAATTTTTAGTTGTGACAAGGAGATCTGAATTAACTGTTACAAGCATGTTTCTGCACTATTCCTTATAAAGAAACTGCATGGAAAAGGTGTTTAATAACCAACAATTATTGTTTTATCATTGCTGTATTTGTTACTAAAATCTAGTCTTCCATTTTTCCCAGTAGTATTTTAGTATAACAAAAATGGCAGAGGACTATTTTGGTATCTTTTAGCCTAAAAATATTTTTAATTATTGAAGTTCTTCATCACATCTGTTACTGTACAAAACAACTGTGGAATGAGTTATGGTAAAATGCAGATGTTCCTGAACTATGGTATGTGTCCAATTAGGGATATATTCAAGTTTTTTCAAAGTATTGTGTGTTGACGTGCAGAGATGCTGCAGATGGTGATTCAGCAAATAGATTGGTGAACTGTGAGTGTGCTGTAAATACCTGCACTACAGAAAAATGATACAGTTAATTTCATCACACTTACTGAAAAAATGCTTATGCCTTCATAAATAGAAGCATTAATCTAAGAAATGTTAAGTATGAAGAAGTATTTTGTGCTTACATTAAGATATTCTTAATGCAGTGAAATGTAGGTAACAGAACTTTAAAACTGTAGAATTTAAATACCAGTGAGGACATGGTTTGGACAAAAATAAATCTTTGTGGGGCCTGAATGTGTTGCACTGGAAGTGTGTGCTTGGCTGTGTAGAAATTAGAAGTGAAGTGCACCTCCAACTATTTAATTTTCCAGTGAAGCTGATGAAAGCAGTACTTCACTTTTTTTCCTTGTGTATTTTTTCTAATGAAATCAAGGTAACTTCCCTGTTTGAAGTTCTTTTTCTTTGTATTCCTGCTTCTCAAGAAGTGTGATCATGAATGAGATCAGCTTCCATCATTTATGACTGTAGCAAAGTGAGGGGAGAGGAGGAAGTGCAGTCTTGGGACTGGAATTGGAAGATTAGAGGATCCTAAGTTTAATGAAAATGAAAATACCTCATACTAAAAATGTTAAATTTGTGAATCTTTTAGGATGAGAGCCATAATTTTAAAACTTTTTTTTTCTGGTAATAGTTTAAAATATGACTGTTATTTCCAGAAAAAATACATATGCAAACCACAGAAGGAAGTGACCCTTAATTTTGATGCTACTGAAAGTAGCATTCTTCATATTCTTCCTCATATTCTTCTTCATATTCTTCCTTCCCTTGGTCTTTGTGAAGAAATTGCCCTCTTGGAAGGTACACATAAAATCCTCCAGATCTAATCATAACACTTGAATATGCACAGCTGCTCACTAAGTAGAAAATATGGTATTCAAAGTTTAATCATGTGAATATTGTGCAGTCATCCAGCTTGGTTTAAAATGCCATTAGAGATAATTAGTTTTAACTCACGTTGCAGATGGAGTGATGCACTTCACTTGTAAGAGAGCAGCAGCAATGTGTTTATTGAAATAAAGCAATGGTTTGAAAGCATTTGATGGTGACTTGATCAGTTTGTGCATAGAGGACAGGGTCAGACAGACCTGTCTGGGGAGGATCCTCCTCTTGAGTCACAGGATTTAGAGACTTTCCTTATAGACTCCTACTCAGAGGACACTGGATATATCCAGTCCTAGTCCCAGACCTGGTCAGCAGTTTCTGTCCAAAGGATTTTATGTGCACAACCAATCTAAGATATGATCTAAGTGAAGCTTTCAAAGTTTAGTTAACTATTAGGGAGTCTCCTACTGATCAGAGTGATTATGTTTCTAAAGGAACTGGTAGGATGGAAAAGAAAATACACTAAAATGTATTTAAGAAAATTGTTTATAAACAAAATAGGGGCATTCAGCTGACTTGGCTAACATATACTCTAACAATGGTTTGTGGGTTTTGATTTGTTGTTACAAAACAGGCTCAAAAATAAAGAAGTTGGTGTATCCTGCAGCTCTCATGGGTATGGCTACCTCCATGTATTACCCTCAGCAAGCGGTGGCTATTGCAAAGGTCAGTGATAATTCCTTTCTTTGCAGAAGTGTCTCTTACTTTGATTGTTGCCTCCTAGCTTCAGATTAACTGGTCATCCATGTTTAAAAAGCCATGTCAGTGGCAATTAACAAAATTACTGTTATTTTGTCAAAACAGATGCAGTCTGGGCTGAAAGATAATCAGACATGTTCCTTTTAGTAATTTTTTTTTTCTAACCTCTGCAGTAGTGTCTTCAGTTAGAGGAATGTTATTTCCTTTCAAAATCTCTAACCTCATGTAATACTAAATTAACATAATTATGCTGAGTACAGTTTGTGTGTTTACTTACAATACCAAGGAAACATGAAATATCTTGTGAGCAAATGAAAACAGTGTTTGAAAGAAAGAAAAAGATTTTCTATAGACAAGTCATCATAACATTTTGAGAGAAATGTTATTGACATTTTCTGCTTTTTTTTTTTGTTGGGGGTTTTAGAAAGATAGCATGCACATTCTGGAAGAGGGTAAGAGTTCTGCTGCTAACTTACTGGATGCCTTCCCTATTTATGGATTTGTTGTTTCAGGCACACAAGAAACATGTTAACTTGCAGTTGCTGAAATGAGTTTCCTGTGAGAGAAAGAACTGAGGAGACCACAGAATTCCACAGCCCTTACTGATGTTAGATCATGTGCCTTGCTGTCCACACTTAGTACTGGCACATTCCTCAGTTCTCCACCACATTGTGTTTCATATCCAGCTTTTAACCACTCACAGTGCACATACTTGCATCCTTCAGAAATTCTTTATATTTCAGCCTTTGGTAAATTTGCTATCTAGTTACTGGCCACTTGTGAATAACCCTGAGATGTCAGAATGGTATATGATATTCTCAAGACCATAGCATGTTCTTTAAAAGCTGAAAGGTCATTGACTTAGGGAGATCAAAACTGCTGAGTTTGAGCTCCACCAGCATGGTGGTACTCTGATCTTTGATGGAATCTTTTTTTACTGCTTCCAGGATTCAGATGCTCTAAATACAGATAATTCTCTTGGCTTATTCTCAGAGAGTGAAAATTATGCAAGTGGCAGGAAAAAGACCCATCAAAATTTAAGAAGCTTAGACATTTCTGTTGGAAACTGTGTATTAAAATTCTGCTTGCCTTCTGAACAGTGAAGTGGGAAGTGATTGAACGCTGTTCAAACTGATGTTACTGTTTTTAAAGAAGCTCAGTTCAGGCTTAACTATGGATTTGGTGCTAACAGCTTCACAATACTTAGTTTATTTTATGAGAACTTTGAAGTGCATGGTTGCTCTTTGATTAATTCACAGTTCTTAGTTTGACTGTAATGAAAAATCTGATAGGAGATTGGAATGGGTTTAGCTTTGTTGACTTGGTCAGGACAGTAGACCTGAATTTGGAAACTTCTGTGGGGAGAGTAATATCCTAGATACTGTTTTGGTTCCTCTAATCTATCTTCTGCTTTCTTTTCTTAAAAAAGCAAAGTTTTAAGCATATCATATCTTATCATCCATAATTTTTAGGCTTTAATCTGAAATTGGAAACACTTTCCTCTCTATTAATTATTTTTAAATGTTTCATACGCCTTTCAAAAAATGTCTGTAAACCTAGAAAGGAATGCCTGCAGTACAAAGCTCACTTGCCAAGTTAATGAAACAATATAGAAAATATTCTTTAACATAAATTTAAATTATTTTTATGTTATGTTCTTTTTATTTTTCTTCCAAGCAGTACTTCATCACTGCTTTTTCTTTTACACTTGTATAATTCCCTTCATTGGGTATTGTGTTGTTTTTGGTTTTTTTTTTAATTTGTGGGGGTTTTGTTTCTGTCCCACTTTTATTTAAGACTTTATAGTGGAGAGTTGGAAATAAACACAGCAAAATGTATTTGTAATTGAGGTTCAACACTTAATTCATCTTAGGTATTTTTTTTTTTAAATTAAGATGTATGAATTCCTAATTGAAGTTGTAGCAACAGAGTTCATCATTGGTAGCAGGAAGTTTTCAGACACTAATCATCTAACTGAAGATGGAAGAAATTCATAGACTATTATTTTTCCCCTGCTTTAGGAAATAATCTAATAAATAATAGATCACAAATTTGTAAGGGATTTATTTCCTCACTGCCAGTATTACTATACTTTTAATAACTTTGAACAAAAGATCAGACTGTATATGTGGTAGGGAACTGAATTTAATACTAAAGCTTATTTTATTCTGGTGGAACCTTCCTTAGTGTTTTGAAATGGTATTGCTTTCCAGCTAATCATAATATACTCAAAATACTTTGTATTTATTGTGGCTTATATTCCAGCTGGAAAGAACTTTCCATTATGCAGTTATTTAAATAACTCTATAATTGGAATTAAACTTTGTCCTTTGTTATTAGAACCTTTCAAATTTACTAAAGTATTGTGTGTTATGCTTTCATTCTTCTTGAAAGAAAGAAAAGCTTCCCAGTAGAGCTTTGTTTCTTTGACAGCAAACCACATTATTTCTGTGTCTTTTGAACCTGTACCTTGTTCCTTGCTGGGTTCATCTATAAGGCATGAACAGCTGTGCTGGCACAGCTGAGAGCAGGACACAGCTCCAGGAGCTGTGAGCTGGAAAGCAGGACCTGGGGTCTCTTCATCCATGGTTGCTGCTGAATGTCCATGAATTGGCACTTTGTAAGTGTAGGAAAACCAGTGCATTCTCAGTTTGTAGTTTCAGTATATAGATAAAGAACTGCTGATCAAGGCTCTGCATGTGTGATTCTGTGTGACATCCAGTGTGGCCAGTAATGCATGCTCAGGGTGCTGTGTGCCACCTTAGGCCTTGGAGAGCACTGGTGCCACCCCAGGAGTGCCCAGTGTGGGTGTTGGTGGCCCATGGCCACCTCAAACTTTCAGAATCCCCGTTGAGAGCCACTCAATCTGACTTTTGAACTTGTTTGTTCAAACTTTAGCATACAAACCCACTTACAGTGCTGCATTCAGCAGCAATGGTATTTTAGCATGTTGACATTGCAGCTTGCACTTCCAGTCTGCCTGGAACTGCATTTTTCAGCCGTGGAAGTGTTTGTGGGTCCTGGCTCTTGGAAGGTTTTTGCCATGGTGAAACATTGGTTGGTTTTGGCAGACTAAACTGTCTGGGTTGCTGTACCTTGTGATGTAGCTACTTAATCCAGCAACATGAATGACCAGTTTCTCATCTAATGCAATTCATAAATCACTTGGTCATATGACTCCTTATATGACTATAAGAATATTTTAAAGTTTGTACTGTTGGGCATTTTGTGTGGTTTTAAATATTTCAATGGAGTATTTTTAAGCAGAAACAAAAATATAGCTTAAGGACAGTTGTTTTTTCTCATTTTATGTTGGTAGCTGTGTCTTCAGTGATATTGCAGACAAAACCAGCACTTTGTTTATTGTGATTATTTTTCAGATTTTTTTAGTGGTAGGTTTGTACTGTTTGCACTAGGGACTACCATCTTTCCAGATGAGCCAGCTAGTTTGTTGAAGTGCTAGATGCTGGAGAATGAACACTTATGATACTGAAAAATAAAATAGCTCTCTATACCTGAAATACTTAGATTGAGCAGTTTTGGAGATTTAACTGGTTCACTTGATGTGCTTTTTTCTGATGACTCTTATCACTTTCAGCTGTAGAGAAAACTGAGTGCATCCAATGAACTTGTTTAAACCAAAATCATTGGTCAGATATGGTGACAAAAAGGATACTTTGTATTTAAGACAGCCTACATTTTGGATTTAGATGTGATTTGAAAGTGTAGTTGCTGATTTGGGTTTGTTTTCTTTTAATTCTAGTTATTCAATAGCCTCCTTTGTAAGGTAGCAAGCACATGGTGTCTGCCCAGAAGCACATCCTTGTACCATTGTGTAGTGACTGCTGTAACCAGCCTTGCTGATTACAGATCAGACAAACAAGGGGAAGTGGCTCCTCACACCACATGTACCCAGCAGTGGAACCACTTGGCACAGGGATGCTAAAAATCTACACTTCCCCTTGAACTCCGTGCAAAAAGTTCAGAGAAGGGAAATTCCTTGGGCCTCTTTACACGCATAAAAATCACCTCTGGCTCAGGAAGTCTCTGAACAGTGAATTGATGGAGACTGGAAGAAACTAAAAAATGTAGTTCAGAAACTTTTTCAGAAATATCAGAAAATTGTTTTAGAAATATTTACACTTGCCCTGTTCTCAGTTTGCTTTTTGTGGCTTTGCCTGCTGTAGGAGATAGGGAAATACCTTCTTAGTTCTTGATTTCATAAGCTTTTTTTAGTTTAATAGCAGTTTAGTTGGACAAATTGTCCTTTTTGCTATTCCTCTTACAGAAACAGACACTGATATGAGAGTCAGTATAGACCTGAGCCTGGCCATAAAAAGCTAACACCCTTTACTTTTAAAGGGTACTATAAATGTTACAATTCCATGTCACAAAAGGGGCAAGGGATACTGTTTTATTAGACTTTGGGCCTTTCCCTGTCATAAAATACTTGTTGGTGTAATATAGCAAACACAGTCTTTCCTAGCTGTGCACTGTTTTGGGAGTTGACAGCTGGTTATTCATAACATTCATCTATCAGCAAGTTCTGAAAAACAAATAAGAAGAAAATCTAAAATTGCAAGCAATTGCTGACAACCCTCAGTAGGGTCTTTGAAATGGGTATGGTCAAAATAAGAAATACTTTGCATATGTTATTTATGTTGAATGTCAAATACTAAGAAAACAGGGATTGTTTCCACACCGAATCATTCCACTCCTGTTTGTACAGATGCATATTCAGGTAGTCCTCAGACAGGTTTTTAGCACATTATTTTTTCTTATTCCTCATGGGACATTATTTTCCAAGATGTTTATTAATTCTGTACATTGTGAGCTTGGGTGGGAGGAGTTAAACATCTTGTGTTATGAGACTTTTTCCACTTAAATAAGAAGCAAGGCAATATTCCCCGGATTATTAAGTTCATGCTTTCTAAAAACTTCTGTTTCAAAGGTTGCTGGCACACAGCTGTATGACTGGAGTCTTCAAGGATATATTGCTGTAGAAGCTCTTTGGAAGGATACTCCTAAGAAGAAGAAATCAGGGGAAAGAGGTGATAAGGTAAGAAGTTTGAGGAACTTGATTTCTGAACTTACCAATGTCTTTTCAGAAAAAAGATTACAAACAACAGTGGTTTTGTTCCACTGTGACTTGACGTTTATTTCTGAAGAGAAATTTTTCATTCTCTCTTTCTAAGCTATAGAAAAACATTAGGCTTACTTCAAGCTAAACTTTCAAAAATCCTGTTTGGAAGCTTCCTTTAGTATAATCTGATACAGATAAGCAAACAGAATTCTAGGAAATATATGTACATGGCTTAGTGAAGCATAGTGTGAGAGACTGGAGAACTGAACACGTTTATTAAATGTGTGCCTAAGAAAGCCTGTAAGGTTTTAAGGTGTTTTTTTTTTTTTAGCTGCTGCTTAAAGAAAGAAAAGTTCATGTGTGTTATGTAAAGCTTCTGTTGTTTTAAATTCACTTCTAAACTCAGTGTGACTGGGAGAGAGGTGTTTTGGAGACAAAATTGCACTTGGATAGACCACGGGGATGGGACCAAGTTCCCTTGCTGAGGCTGGGTGTAGGACTAGTTCAAAAACAAGCTGGGCTGGGGAAATCTTCACATGTCCTGGCAGTTGCTGAGTCTTCTGAGAATGAAGACTTTCATCAATGGATACTTACCCCGTATTGGCCCAAGGCACTTCAGTAAATGAACTTGAATAAACAAAGGTTTGTTAATTGTCCTGTAGCATTCCTAAAACCTAGGCTCTCAAAAAAAACCTCAAAAAAGAGGCAATCTTAAAATATTTCAGAAAGACAAACTGACAGCATTAGTAAAAAAAGCTGAAGTTTTTCTTTTATTGTGTCCCAGGCTTTCAAAAGGGAACACGTGGTTGTTATTGGAAGGCAAAAACTTTTGGCACTTTCATTTTGCTATAAGGCTTATTCAAGCACTTGCTACCTCAGCAGAAAAACAAACAGCCTGCAGCATTTCAGAGACCACTAAGTAAACACACTTCCTTCTCTTCCTCCTTGCAAAATCTTTAAATCACACCCCTTAGTTGCCAAAACACGTTACTTGCACAAAGGAGCAAAGTGCTCATGGATGGGTGTTCTGCAAAAGTTCATCTCATTGTTCAGGTGCTGTCTGTGTGAGCTGCTGCTGCTGCTGTGATGGATTAGACAAGGTCCAAAACCCCTGTGACTCAAATGAAGAAGAAGTACTTGGTCACTTGATGAAACTGCTTGCATTTCCCATTACCACTGAGGCAAACAGCCCTGCTGGGGCTGTGTCCTCAGAGTTCCTCAGGAGAGGCTCCTGTCTCCCTGCTCTGCAGAGAGGCTGAGCAGCAGCTGTAAGAAGTCACATGCTCTTGTCTAGAATGGGGACTGAGAAGTGATTCTAATGGAAGAAGTTCGCCCTGAAGTTTCCTTTGGCCAGGGAAACCATACAAAACACACAGTTGAGAATCTGGGTGGGTAGAGATGGGTTTGGTTCAGGTTTGTTCCAGATGGAAATAATCATACAGATTATTAGCACCACCAAATCAGTATCAATTTTTCAAGCAGAAGAATTTCTGTTTAAATTCCATTTTTTTATTGGAGGCTTTTACTCATACAGAAGCATCATGGAAGAAAATGCTTTTAACTATCATATACAAAAAAATTGGCAAAGCATTGTAGGATAGATTCTGTGTCTTCAGTTTTAATTTGACAACCTTGTGGAAGAATTTGGTTGCTTTTGTATATGTATTTCTTACTGTCATTCTAGGCAGCTAGATTCCTGAACTAGTGAAGACAGGTCTAAATGTGACTCTTGAGTTTTTGTTGCAGCAGATGTAACCCATTTCATGAAACTATGCCAGAGCAAAAGACCTTATTTTTGTTTTTGTGACATTTACTCCAGCATTTTCCTGTTGCTACACAAAGGATTCTTGCAAATAGTCAAGCAGTATATGGGTGGCTCTTCTTGGCTTCTGTTAATTTGTTATGTTGCTCATAATTTTTTTGATAGTCATAGGTACCACAGCTGTGCATAACTTCATGTTTGTGCAGCAATATGTCATTAAAATAAATGTGGTATGTTAATTTTCTGAAGGTTTTATGAAACAAAATCCTGTGCCAAATTGAGGTCATATCAACTGAATTCCGAGTTCTGCCAAGAAAGATGAATTCTGGGACCTTCTGTGCCTCCATTTCAAAACATTGTGGCTGCAGCCCCTCCACAGAGCATGTGAGGCAGATAAATGTTTTTAATATGCTGTTGAATGATGGAGCTCTTCAGGATGTCAGGATAAAATCTCTCTGCTGAAACTGAAGCACATAGAAAAATAGTTTTCTTCTCTTAGTTCTCACTTTATCTTGTCTCTATACCATTCAAAGACTTTTGCTGTATTTTTAACAATTTTGGATTCTCTCTCTTCCAGCAGCACTGAATTGGGCACCCCTTGTTTTAGTGAAGGGGCCAAATTGTGTAAAAGCAGAACAGCACTACAGCTCTAAGTACACCCTTCTTTCAGCCCCTGTTCCTTTCTTCTTGTGTTTGCTCTTTCCCACTTGGCCCAACTAGTAATGTAATCTCACAGAAAACTAATTTCCCTCTCAGCTTCAGAGCCTGAGAAACTTTTATGGCATATTACTTGGTTTGCATTCCTGTCTGGTGTGCTGATGGACACCACCAGTGACTTAGCAATACATGATACATACAGTTTTTAAACCCATATGTTCTTATTACACATGTAAACTATATACATGTATTTTATATTTATATATACATATATTTAAAATGTATCTCTATGGCAGTCTCTGGGTATTTTATTAAGCACTGGCTGGTTACAAAATGTCTCCAGGTGCAAAGAGGGCTCAGCTTTGGCTGATTTCCTGTACTTGCTTAAAAGAAGTGTCAAGGAAATTGTGGACCAGAACCTTCCTCACTTGAAATCTCTGTTGAAAATTGTGGTGTCAGTGTTTTGACTGGGGAGCCTCACCATCAGTATCACAGAGTGTGACCATAACAAACCTTGAATTGTGTTTTAAGAGAGTTTTGAAGTCACATGTATTTTGGTCATCTTTTAAAACATAACATAAGCAGCTGAGGAAGCTTCTTCTACAAAAAATGCTTGTTAGGCTTGGCTTTGGTGGGTTCTGAATAGGCAGGCAAAAGTTTGGTCATCTCAATTAAAAGGTAAACTTATACTTCTGGCAGAAAATGCTGTTTCCTGTCACATGCCCTCCTTTTATTGTTTGGTAGTAGGAATAAAAACAATATGAAACTTGTAAGAAATACAAACAAACTTCTTTTGGAGTGGATCCTTAGTCTGGGCAGTGGGGAATTTAAATGTGCTAGAAGTGGATGGACAGAAAGAATGTACTCTGCAAAAAGTTAATCTCTCTAAGGGCAGCTTAGAGCAACATTTTTGAAAGTACTTCATATTTTTGTGATAATTAAGTTCAAGGTCAACTTAAGTAAAAGAAGAAGAAGTTACTGATTTACTGGGGGAGAATGAATAAGGTAAGGCAGTGATGTTCTCTTTATTCCAAGCAATACATTGCAAACCAAAGAGGACAGAAGGTAAATTATTAATCTGTGAGCCCAGGTGAGCCTTTGTTTTTGTTTTGCAGCTTGCAGCTGTGTTGGTTTTTGTTTTTTGGTTTTTTTTCTAGTGGCCAGACTTTCCCTTTCAAGAGTTTCCATAAGCACAAAAGATACACACCTATCTTACATCATGCTTTTGAAGTTGTATTTTCTAAGATTAGTGAACAGGGTCTGACCATCTGCAAGACTTCTGAGGTAGCAACAGAAATTTCTGCACCTGGTTCAACTGTAATGTGAGGGAAGGAGGCACCTCATGTTTGGGGGTTTGACATTTAGCTGGTTTGCTTTGGGGGCTTTTTCTTTGTATGGAAGAAACTTTTCAGAGTAATCATGGTGGTTTTTTGCAAAGTTTGTTGTTTAAGTTTAGGTCTCAGTGTATCTCTGTTAGATGCTGTGTGAGCTAAGTTGAGGTGGTTTTGAATCACTCATGTACTGAAACTGTACAGTCTCCTTAGTGCCAGTGTTGTTTTTAGTTTCAAATTATTTCTTTTTTTCTTTTTTAGTCCCAAGGAATCCCTATTTATTGAACATTTGATAATAAATGTATTTTGGAGATTTCTTACTAGTCACCTTTCACTTGAAACAGTCAGAAACACAAGTATGTAAAATATTTCCTCTTCTGCTGTGGAATAGAGCTCTGATGTGTAACCTCCTCTGGCCACCCAGATTTGTTATGGAGTGGTTGTGTTGAGCCAGAAAGCAGAAAGACTGTCTTGAATATGTGCCTGTTTCTGATTATGAGAGGATACCGTGGCACAGAGGAAGTCTGTCTTCTGAGTCATTGATCTAAACACATCTTTTGCTTCTGACCTGGTTTTGAGTGTGCTAGAAGACTTTGGCACCTTTTTCTAAAATGATGTGCCTGTGCCACAGAGTCCTTTTCTGGCTAACTCACATTACTGCTCGAGCTGTCTCACTTAGGCTCACTGTTTACACTGTGGGCATATGCAGTGGTTGGAGGTAAAAACTTCTTAACTGCTAATTCAGCAAAGGGCTTTGTGTGAGGAATGACAGTCTATCAGTGGATTGGCTTGAATTAAATAACTCAGGTTTAACAGTTATACTGAAGGCAAGCCCTGTGATGAGATCTCCTGAGCTCATAGAAACAAAGGAATTTAGCAAGACAACTCTTCCCTTGTGCATGTGTGTGTTGCTTTAGATTGTTTTCCTCTTTCAGGACATTAAAAAAAAAAAAAGCTTACCTAGACAATAATTACTTTTTACAAGTTAAAACAAGAAACTGGAAAAACACAGCCTTCTCTGTGAGGAGCTTATTTTTAGTTCATTTGTTCAGGATTGAGTAAACTCTGAGATGAGGCATCGTTAGTCAGATTATTCATTGTAAATTTTAATAAAATGTCATAACTTAAAAGTTCCTGTACAGGCAAATTACAGAGTAGGTTATTATTTTGAAATGGGTGTGGTTTGTGGATGTGATTTCCCCTGCTATGAAATATCCAGGGTAGTAATCAAAACAAAATGGATTTTTCAAAGAAAGAATTACCTTTTAAAGGTCTTGCTAGGCATTTTTTGAGTAAGACATTTAAGAAATATCTTCATAATTGAATCTTGATATATTGAGTCCATATCTCCATCACAGCATATGCAGGATTGCACAGACTTGTTGTCCTTATCATGTTTAACTGGTAATATATAAATTTGACCCATTCTTTGAAATATTTCCCAGTCTCTTCTAGCTTCCTTTGCTACATTTTCCATCACATTTAGTATTATAGAATCACAGAATAGTTTGGGATGGAAGGGATCTTAAAGATAATCTAGTTCCAACGCCCTGCAGGAGCAGCTTCCACTAGATCAGGTTTCTCAGAGCCCCATCCATCCTGGTCTTGAACACTTCCAGGGATGGGGCATCAACAGCTTCTCTGGACAACCTGTTCCAGGGCCTCACCACCCCTACAGCAAAGAATTTCTTCCTGATGTCAAATCTAAACCTGCCCTCTTCCAATTTGAAGCCATTCCCCCTTGTCTGTCACTAGAGGCCCTTCTGAAGAGTCCCTCTCCAGCTCTCTTGTAGCCCCCTTCAGGCCCTGGAGAGCTGCTAGAAGTTTTCCCAAAGCTGCTCTTTTCCAGGCTGAACAACCCCAACGCTCTCAGCCTGTCTCTGTAGAAGAGGTGCTCCAACTCTCTGATGATCCCTTGGCCTCCTCTGGACTTGCTCCAACAAGTCCTCATCCTTCTTATGTCCCAGGCCCCAGAGCTGGACACAGCACTCCTGGTTTGCTTCCAGGAGCAAAGCAGACCTGCTGCCCACACTACTTTGGAAGCAGGATGTGGTTGGTTTCTGGGCTGCAAGGGCACATTGCTGGGTTATGGTGAGCTTTTCATCAATCAGCATCCCTAAATCCTCCTCCCCAGGGCTGTTCTCAATCCATTCTCTGCCCTGCCTGTGTTTGTGCTTGGGATTGTCCTGACCCAGGTGCAGGACCCTGCACTTGGCCTTGCTGAACTTCCTGAGGTTCACAGGGGCCCATCTTTAAAGCCTGTAAATGCCTCTGGATGACATCCCTTCCCTGCAGCACCTTGAGCACCACAGCTGGGGATTGTTGGCAGACTGCTGAGGGTGCCCCTCAGCACAGTCCCAGGGTCCTTGCTGCTGGCAGAGGTGTCAGTGCCAGTCCCAGCACTGACCCCTGAGGAGCACCACTTATAGGGTGACAGAATATAAGAAAATAAAGATAGTGTAGAAAGTAATCTTACCCCTAAGGAGGGGTCAATTATTGCAGCTGGGCCATCTATCAAAGATTAGGAACAGGCCTGACTTTAACAGGCCACAGCTGTAACCAGTGAGAAGAAGAGAGCTGTAAAAGAGTGGGGTGGCTGGCTGAGAAGGGAACTGGAGTCAGTGGCTGCTTTGTGAAGATGAAAGAGTCAGTGCTGTGAGGAGCTGCCCACGAGAAAATACCAAGAAGGTGTGAAACTTTTGCAATAAGGAGCCAGTGATGTCTGCAGCTCTGAGTGTGACCATCCAGCCAATTCCTTATCTGCCAAGTGCTCCATCCATCAAGTCCATGTCTCTGCAGCTCAGAGACAAGCATATCCTGCAGGACAGTGTCAAGCACTTTGCACAAGTCACAAACGACATCAGTCACTCTTCCTCGCTGCTGTAACCCTGTTATAAAAGGCCACCAAATTTGTCAGGCACACTTTGCCATTAGTGAAGCCATGTTGGCTGTCACCAATCATCTCTTTAATTAAGTCATGTTGGTAAAAATAGCCTTCTAGAATGAAGAGGAAATGCCATTTAATTTCCATGTGTAGAATTTAATAACAATTGAGGGTGGGTGCCACCTCTCATTATTTCACCCCAACCCCTGTTCAAAGCAGAGACAGTTTCAAAATTAGATTGGGTGGTTCAGGCCTTATATAATCATGTGCTGAATATTTCCTGGGGTGGACATTTAGAAAGTTGTCACGAAAACCTGCTCCAGTGATCAGTGGTGTGATACATTTATAATTTTTTGCCCTTTGATCTCAGAGAAATCTGCCATGCTCCTCTGTCCTTTTCTCCCTCTCCTTTAGATGTTAACCTCTGAGAAGGATGTGGCTCTTCCAAATATGTAAATGCCCATTAAGAATTTGTGGATAGGAATTAGGTTTCCCCTTTGTCTGGTCCTCGCCAGTCTGAACAGATCCTCATCTCAGCTTGTCCTTCCATGTGCTTCAGTCCCCAAGGCATGTGTGTGGCCCTTTAAGTAGTTTTAAATGGATATCTATTTAAAGCTGTAATCAAATGCATGTTTGTTATAGCATCTTGGCAAATAGATAGACCAGACACTGTAACAAGCTTCTCTTCATTCTTTGATTTCTGTCATTAATGTTGGGGAAAGTGTGAGAACACCCTCTAAAAGGGTATGTGCTAAAAGAGATCTATTGTATAAGTCCACACAGAATTCAGAGAATGCAAAATAGCATCTACTCTATGGGTATTCATCCTCTGTTATTAATACAGGCAAAATGATTCAATTAAAGCACTTCTGTTGAAAATACTTGTTCTTTCAAACCCTTTAATTGCTTGGCTAGCTACAGGAAGACTAAAGTCTAGAAAGTGTTTGGTAGAAGATCATATTTGAGTGTATTATACTGAATTAGTCTCATGAAGCACTTGATTTTGTGAGATATTTTTGTTTCAGCTTTTGAAGAGGGTTTCTGTTCTGGTAAAAACATTAATCATGGATTGCCTCAATTGAGATGTTGTGCATATTTTTTTTCTTCCTCAAGGGTGATGCAGTGGGTGAGAAGCCCCTGGAAGTCCATGCTGCTTCAAATAAAGAGCAGACCCAGAAGTAGAATTCTACATCACCTGGCATCAGACAGGTAAAGGATAAAGACTGCTAATAGTTTGTGGCTAAGCAGCAGAGTAACTGGGAAAAGCTGAACATTTTCAAGTTTGACTTGTAGTTTTCTTCATAATGATTAGGAGAATGCAGACAGATAATTCTATTTGTCCTAAAATTTATCAAGAATATATGCACTCCCTAACACTATTCAAATTAAGAAATCGAAATTATTCATCTTTAGAGCATAACAAGTAAATACATGTCTGTTTGAAGAGTTCTGAATTAATTGAGGAAAGCCTTGTGATTGTGGTGTTGGTTGGTTTTGGCCTTTTATTTTCCTTTTTGTCTTCCCATTTCTGCCTTCCTTACCAAAAATCTCTTTGCCTTTTTTGTCATGCTTGCACAAGTATTAGGGTTGGGAAAGAAACCTCTTCCCTGCTGATAAGTTTTCTCTAAAGATTTGTGAGTGCCAGGGTACAGCACTGCCTTACAGCCTGTAAAAGTTCATGATGTGCCTGACCTTTCATGTTAAAGCAGCTCCCAAATGAGTCCTGTTGGGAACAAAAGATGGAGGAAATGAAGGCAGCATTTTCCAGGCTCTCCAAGGCAGAAACTCGAGTTGAGATACCAGTTCTGACTTGGCCTCAGGGCTGTGTTCTTAACTCAAGCAAGTCCTATGGTTACAGTTTCTAGAAAAGCAAAACAGAAACATCCTCTTGATTTTTTGTGATGGTTTGGTTTCACAGGATAAAAATTGCTCTGTATTTGAGGCTTATTACAAATAATTATAACATAATTGGATGTAATTTAGCACAAAATGTCAGATGTCTGCTCTGTTATCAGTTGATAAAGAATGTCTCTTCTGAACATGTTTTCTACTTGATTCTCTTTGCCCTGTATTATTTTTGCATCATGTTAAAAACTTCCTTTTCATCAGAAAGTGATCCTGCCATTATAGGGACTCCTCATCATTTTTGTATGCAGTATTGCATTTACCAGAAAAATCTTATTTTTTTTCCTTGCTGCCAACTTGTGTCAATAGAGTCCAGATCTGGCAAACTGCATCAATTTTTTTCCATGCCCCAGCATCAGTCACACATGTTTGCAGATGTGGTGGAATCACCCATCTGCTAAGCAGCAGCATTCCACTGCTTCATGGGCAGCTCTAAAAGAAAACCTGGTTTTTAATGTTCAAGTGTTTTAATTGCTATTGCTAATTCTCACAACAGCAATGTGAGCTTGTTGACTGGCTGATGTACTGAGTACCTTAGCTTTCCCTTTAGAGCTATGAATATAAAGTCTTTAAGAATACATGTTCTCCAAATAGTTTGTAAGATAGTAATTTAAAATAAATACTAAAAAAATAATAGAAGGATTTTTGAATATTATTGTGTAAAGAATCCCAAGAGAACTGAGAGGAAGAAAAGCCTCTCTAAAAATTCACTGAAATATTCTTGTGCTTCTTGTCAACTAGGACAGAGCTACTAAATGATAAAAACCCAAGAAAATTGAACTTTTGTTTGTGACACTGTACAAATATCAAGGTTCAAACATAAATCCATAAATAGGTTTTATTTTCTTTTAGAATTTCTTGCTATGAATAGAATTTTTTTATTCACTTTTTGAAATGTCAGCCTTTTGCTTCAAGCACATTTTCTTTCTTTGGGGAAGGTTTTAAGAGAGTGAAGATAAATTGCCCAGGAGCTTGAAGGACCTGAGTGCTCCTGGTTTTGAAACCTACATGCTTCACCTCATGTTGTTTCTGGAGGAGGCACATGAAGGGAACTGCTGGATTTTTGACCTAGGCCAACCAGATGGTGAAAGTTCAATTCAGTATCAAGTTCAGCTGCTCTGCGGGGGTGGCAGTTTGTTACTTGTGCTTGAAATCAAATCCTGTCATTTAACTGCATACCCAAGTCCAGATGTTTTGTTGGATTTGGGTGATCCCAAAGGTTGGAGAACATTGCTGTGATCTTTAAAAAGACACATTTTTTTATTCTAGATGAGATCAGTCCTGAAAGTCTCACTGCATTTTCAACTGCTGGGAATACTCCTAGTAGAATGTGGTTACTAAAATAAAGACAATCTTATTTCCTCCATGATTTGCCACAGCATGGGTCTCTGAACTGTGAATGGTCAGCCAAGGACAAAATCCTATTGGGTTGAAAACAACAACATACTTCTCTATTCCAAAAACCAGCAGCACTGCACCTCCCTTATTATAGTTTGCCATCAAAAATGATATGCAAACTTCAGTTCAAACCACATCTCACTGTGGAAGAAAAAAATGTTTAATTTTATCCAGCTGTTGTATCTGGGAGTTGCACAGAAGTGACAGGGTTTTGTGATTTTCCATGAAGATGGCATATCTCATTTTCACTCTGTTCCAGATCTATATTTATGTAATTCCATTTCTTTGAGTTAAATTGCCCTAGTCTTACTCCAGAGTAAGTAAGATTAAGAAAACATGCATTTGATGGGAATTTAAAAGAATTATTTTTGAGGAAGTTGGTTGATTATACAAGATTCCAGTTGGTGTTTGGTTTGAAGTGTTCTCTTTTCTCTTTCCATTTAGTTCAACTATGGGAATTGAGTCCTCTAGAACAGACATGATGATTAGTGCTCTAATGTCAGTAATATGAAGAGTTAAATATCTCTACTGCAAGCAAATTGGTGTTGAGAATGTTCCTCAAAGAGATTTTGATCAACTTGCCACAGCAAAGAAAAACGTTTTGATTACACTGTAAAAATGAAAGGGCCTGTGATAAATTTAATTCTGCTTTCTCCCTCCATTCCTCTCCCCCTTAACCTCTGTCCCCTTTCTTTGGTTATAGGTGAATAAAAATATAGATATGAGCAACAATTTCCCAAGAAAAAGATGAAAACCACCTGAATCCATTTTGAATGTGACTAATCTGCCTTCTGCCTCAGGACAGTCTGATGATCTGCTCAGGCTGCTGGGATGGCTGCTGTGAAAGGGCACCACGTGCTTGGGTCAGTGCTGAGACTCTGTCCTCTGTTCTGCAGTGGCACTCAAGGCTGCCCATGCTTGTCCCATTGCAGGATCAACATTGCAAGTAGCAAGTCTCAAAATCCCTCGGTCTCTTTATTATTTATATATAAAATAAAATTCCAGTTACAGAAAATGGTCAATTTTTTCCCCTCCTCCTGTCTTCTTTAAACTCACAGATGTGATGTTTGCATAATCTGAGATGTTCTCTAGGTGCTGTTGACAGTGCCTGTATTTTTACCAGCGAGGAAAGCTGAAAGTAGTAGGATGTTTTGGCTAACATGAGCTCACAGAATTGGGAATGGGAACAATTACAATGACTCTTGTGTTTTGTCTGAGTCCCCCCTCCTTTCTATACACGTCCTCTGCCTCATCAGTGCCAGCAGGAGGTGTGTAATGAAGCATCTGTGAGTTCCTGTCTGGTGGATGGATGGGAATGGAGCTGTTAATGCTTGTTCTTGTTTTTGCTTGAATGAGCAGCACAATGGGAGCCAGAATGTTACCGTGGTGGGAACCAGCTATAGAATAACTTGGCTGTTTCCTTATTCCCAGCCAGGGGAGGGGAGGAAAAAGTGATGTGGAGGGAAATACAAAAGGATTTCCAGCATTTTGAAATCTTTGCACAATAAAACCCTTTCATCATTTGCTGTCATTTCCATGAGTCTCTCTTTTGGGGCTTGATGCATTACAAGTTACTGTAATCCAAGTGGCTCAGAGCATTTAAAGCTGTGTGGGTGAGCTTTAAACGCTCCTTAATTAATCAGTGAATATGAGGAATGGGGGAAGGATAACATGAAATACGTGTTTGTGTGATACATTAACTTTCTCAAAAGAGCAGGGAAGAAAATGCAAAGTAAATCAGATTCAAAATGCTTGTAAACATCTTTGTTATTCCATGGTTAGGTATTCCTGTTATTGCATGGTTAGGTATTCCAGCTGAGCATATTCCACAGACTTCTAGAGAAAAACAAACAGACCTTGTCAGTGTGAATGCCAGTCTGTGTGGGCATTGTAAAACAGGCCAACTCTTTTTTAGTACGGGCAGTAAGGCATGTGGTTGCCTTAGGCAGAAAACCAGTATCTCCCAACATGTTCAGTGCATGTTTTTATGATTGTTTTAGGCTGGTAAAGATGTATGTTGATACAGGGAGCAGAGTTCTTGCATGGGGTTTGGGAGGTGTGTGTGTGGTTTTGTTTTTACTTGAAACTTGCCAAGATAGTTTAAGCAGGCTTGGGAGGATCAAAGTAGTGTTTTTGTCAGTAGTGGAAAGGAAACTTGGGAAATAGAGCAGTAAATGCTCTGTTACGCCACTCCTGTGGTACAAGCATAGATTTGTTTCTGCCCTTAAGATAGTTCTTCACTTATGCGTTCTCATATCACATAGAGAATATCTCCCATAGAATTGGGAATACAGCTTTAGATGCCTGGTTTTTTTCAGTTTAATATTATTTCAATATTTGGCATATGCCACATTGGCATTTAAGGACGTGATTACTTGGTAATTCAGTTCTTTGTTTACATATACACATGTGCTTGTTTAATAGCCTGGGTTAAATAAATATCACTTAAATGCTTTTCACTTGATCAGGTCTTAATTCAGCATATTTACACTGCTGCTTAAAAATGTCCCAAGTGATTGACATCAAACAGGAATGCTTTTATCTAGCAGGAAATGACTGCCTTCAAGCACCTGCATACACACATGACAAGGAGATGGTTCCAAAATGTGAGCAAGAGACAGCCTTAGCTGGAATCCTTTCCTTATGTCTTCTGGTTTTTATAACTGCAGGAAATAAAAAAAGTGTCATGCTGTAAGAGCCCAAGAGTTTGTAAACATTCAACTCTCTTGGCCCAGACGTTCCTAATGAGGAGCAGGAGAGGAGCTGACCACTGCTGGTGTCTATAGATATCTATATATGTGTGTGTGTGCACACATGGAACTAAATGGTGCATGCATATGTTATCTTCTGCCTTCCAGACTGTGCCTGTGGGTATTACAGTGTAGGCTAAAAATGGTATATTCCCCACCCAAGTGTCATGTTGGGTCATCCTTCCACTTGAAGCATTTTGGCTTGGTAACTGGACTGCATGCAGCTGAAACAGTGTTCTGATCTCAGCATCCTTGGCTACACTGGCTGCAGCAGAGGTAGGGCAGTGCTCTCTCTTAAAAACACCGTATTTGAACTGCAGCATGTGAAGGTTGTAGAACTGGAGGTCATCAGGATGGCCCTACATTGGGATGAGGATTCTTGTAGGCAGCATGTCTCGTGTCAAAAGTGACAGTGAAGCATCTCTGCTAGAAGGAGCATCACCAGCCTGGAATAATCCAGTTAGCCCAGGTAAATGTGCACAATCTTGCAGCCTTCAGTAAACACACAGGATTTTGCCACAAATGTTTATTGCAAAACTCTGGTTTAGACTCAGTCCTCTGATTGCAGGAGGCCCCTGACACAGGCTTCACAGCAGCCATATTGAAAATGTTTTGGAGCTTTTGTCATTGCATCTGTCACCTTCAAGGAGAGCAGTAAAGACCAAGATTGATGTGGAGGGAATTGCATTTTACCCTGTGAGAAAACAGTGCCCTGGGAGTTGAAGGGACTTGTTACTGCTGTTTATTGGCAGAAAAACCTCAGGGTGAGCACATTTGCTTCCGGACAAATCGAAACTGCTGCATTTAGTTCTTTTTCCCTTTTTTGTTTTGTTTTGTTATTATTATTTCTGTACCTTCCTATGAATTCTGAGCTACTTCTAAAGCCAAGTTTTATCACAACAAACTGCTATTGACAAAGAGCATTTTGGCTTCCCACTGGACTTTCCTGGATGCAGCCTCTCACAGCAGTGTTGGCTGTTGCACCTGGGTGGCCTGGCAGCTGCCTAGGTTAACCCCCTTCCAGAGAGGTTTTGACAGGTACAAAAGCTTCTTGTTTACAAGGAAGACATTTGATAACAATATCTAAACTACAAAGCAGAAGTTGTTTCAGTAGAAAAAAGTATGTTTCTAATTGTGCAACAACCCTCTGTCCTCTTAAGTCGGTACCATTAGCTGATTCTGGTATTTTTTGACCGGATATGGTTCTTAAGTTGACTGGAGCTGGCAGCTTCCTTAGTGTCCCTCTGGAGAAAACGTTGGTGTATTGATGCAATTGGAGTATTTTCTCCTATTTCAGGACAGTGAATACATCACTGGCTATCTCTGCCTAAAGATGAAGCTCTAAGGTGGACTTGAAGTTCATGGATTCCCCCAGTGCTGCTCTCACAGCCACGTTTTCAAGCTGGTGTTCTGGTAGCCATTGCACTGATGTTGAAAGCTGGCAAAATCAAAGGTGGGCTGAGGATGTCTCACAGCTGGTTACGAGTCTGCTCCCTCTAAAGGATTCCTCCCTCCCTTTGCTCCATTGGAAATGGACCTACAATGCCTGCAGTAGACTAAGCTCCTTGACTCCTCCTTACCCTTTGTGTGTGTGTGCATTTAAAGGTCTAAATCTACCAAGCAGCCCACAGCGCCAGTCAGTCACGTGTGCTGTGTCCTGCTGTGGCAGGTGAGCTGGATGCAGTGCTCCATCACCAGCCTCAGTTTCTGGGGCATGATCCTGTAGTGGATGAGCTTTGCTGGATCTTCTGCAGGGAGGAGGATCCCAGCTGACTTGCTTGCAGTGTGCCTGGCAGATAGTCATGGCACAGCCTGAGCTGTGCTCGTGATCCCAGAGCCTTTGTGCCCAACTGTGAAAGGAGCAGTGGGGACAATTGGACAGCCTGGTCAGGGAACTTCTCTTTTTGTTTATAGTGTGATTGTAAACATTCACAAGACTCAAAAATTAGATTGAGACTAAAGCTAAAGGGTGCACTTTAGTGAGTGTCCAGCTCTTTCTCAGCAAAGAAGTGGCAGCATGGGTCATTTGCTCCGCCCTTTTTGGCTGGGGGGACAGAGGCAGTGGCAGGAAGGCTGTTGGTGCAGTCCTTTACCCGCGGGGGCTGTGTAGACAAGTGCTGGAGGGCTGTCAGAGAGCACCTCATCTTTTTCCAGGGGCTTGTGCAACGTGCATTGTAAGGGAGTAAGTGAGTTCAGCCCCTGCATGCCCGGATAAAAGAATAACCTCACAGGGAGAACTTAATTCTCTCTGCTTCGGCCGCTACAGAGTGAAACCACAGGACCCACCACGTCCCGTACCAAAATCTTCCAAAATCCGCTGTTCTGTGTCCCTCTGCATCTGAACCTTCCATGTCTTTATCTGGAGTACCTTCGTTCAACTCCAGGGCGCAGCACCCGTGCCTTTGGGGAAGTTCAGTCGGTTTCTTTGAACTGAAAGTGAGCCACACGCTTGGCTGGGAGCGCTGAGGAGCCCTGGAGGAGCCCCGGAGCCTGCCGTGCCCCCGCTCCGCGGGCAGAGGAGGGAAGGAGCCCCGAGCAGGGCGATGCTCCCTCCCTGCCAGCTCACATCTTCACCCCAGAGATGGAGGAGAGCTCTCACTGCCCCAGGGAAGGGGGGAATGCTGAAGCACGAAGCCAGAAATGTCTCCGTGGCTGTATGCACGTACCAGCTAGCGATCACAGGCAGCCAGCTGGAGACGGCTCTTACCACCACAGTTTTGGCCCATTTAATTTATTTTTGTTATTGTTAAAAACGGTACACACAAACACGGGGAGTTTGTGTATCAATCCTCAGTGAAAAGAGATTCTTCCCTTCCCCCCACCCCCTGCCCCAGATTAAGTTCACCAACGTCCTCTTTGTAAATTTAGCAAGCTTCAGACTCACTTCCTTTTGTCAGGAGACCTGAAAGAGCCATTTCCTGATTCGTACAGGGCTCTTGTATGCGCACACTAAGTGCTCATTCATGCCGTGAATCATAAAGGTAACCTCAGTTCAAAGCACTGCGCTGATACTTCGGCGTGGGACCAAAAGAAAAAAAAAAGAGAGAGAGAGAGAGAAAAAAGAGTTTTGTAATTCAGCGCAGCGCGCGTTGAAGTCATCTTTGCATTTACTGAGGAGCGGCGCCAGGGGGGTTTTGCTCTTCTGTCTAAAAGGCATCGTTTACAAACTGGCTGCACTAAAACGGGCTGGTGAAAGCACCAAAGCCAGCCCAAAGGATTATGTTTACTGTCGTGTGCCAGGCTTGACACATTTTTCATATCCTGCCAGAGACGAGGAATGGCATCAGGAGCTGCCGCTGAGTCAGGCCGGGCCCCGGCTGGGCTCAGCACGGCGCCTCTCACCGAGCTCCGTGATGGGGCTGGGGAAAACTCAGCTCTGCCACGAGCGAAGGACTCACTCTCCTGCCTGAGGTTCACTGGCAGGTCAGCGAGGCACGGTCTGTTGTGTTTATCTCCCCTGTATTCGCCTCCGGGTTCATCTGACAATGAAAGGGATGAGCTGTTTCTGGCTGAAAGAAGAAAGAAATGTGCGCTACTCGCCTCTCTCTATCCCTGCCAAGAGGGAGCGCCAGCCAATTCATACATAACATTGGAGTCTTCTGCCATTTAGCAGCTTTTGCACAGCATCCAACTGTACAAGGACACGTCCCTGGGGTCAAACAAACTTTGGCTGTACTTCTGCCTTGATGAAGTAAGATCAGTATGATCTCTCCCTGTTCGAGAGAGCAAAATACACAGATGCTAAAATCAGCAACTGTGTTTTGACCAAGAAAACAGTAAAGGGGAAGGAGGCTTAGCTTGTGGTAAAAAAGAGGTAACATAAATGCAAGTCCATCCTCTTTTACTACCACAACCCTTCTTGAACTCTTAAAAAGGCCAGATATTCACCAGTTGCTTTTAACCATGATTGCTTTTGCAGTACTGTCCTATTTCCAGATGAGGTTAGCCTGCTAAGGAGAGTCTCTTGTTTGAGGAATGTTAGAGGAGCAGTGGTGTAAAAGCACTCTGCCCTGGGCTAGTCAGCCCGGGGTGACTCACACCCAAAAGTAACAGAACTATGGGAGCAAAAAACCCAAATGATTTTAGGCTCCCAGTGGGTGAGGTAAAGTGCAACATAGATGTGCAGGTAGAACTCTACATACCTCAGGCCACAAGGCTCTGAACTAAGATTGTGATGTGCTGTGATCAAAGCCTGATTTTTGTCCTGGAAGGCTACTACCATGAGCAAATCCATAGCCACCACTTGTAAGTAAACTGCAATAAATAAAATCACAACCACAAAGGAGGTGTGAAGTGCTAATTTTAATTGGTAGTCCTGTGGGACTTCCTGTATGCTTGTATTTTCCTTGTGGAGTGAAATGCACAAGAGGAGCAGTTTTATTTGCACAAGAATTCTCCACTCTCTGCCTGCAGCTGAAAGACTGCTCTGCCTGCAGGAAGGGTGAGGAGCATTGTGAGACCTATCTGGTTCACCTGACTGCTCCAGAGGGATGCTCCTGGAGAACAGGAGAGTTCTGCAACATCCTTCCTGACTGGAAAAGTGGGACTCTTTCTGATCCATGCAGGGTCTCAGTGGCAGGATTCCTGGGCAGAAGATTCTGTAATGTTTTTGTACTTGATTGTTGCCTTAATTCCCTGCAACAACTTGTTTTGTCTCCTTTTTTGTCTTGCTGTGTTTGTGATCCCTCTCTCCGGTAGACTTTCCTGGCTTTGCCCAAAGCACCTCCCTGGCCTGGGGGTCCTGCTGAGGTCTTCTTTACATTTCTTCTCTCACTTCAGTCATTTTCTTGAGGAATTCTGGCACCTCATCATCCCTGCTCTCAAGGTTTGTCATACAGAGATGTTCAAGCTCCTCATATATGATTATCACTTTCAGCTTTTATCACTTTGGAATTTTGGAACAATGTTTCCTTAAAACCTGGTCAATTAATATTTTGAGAGCTGGAAAACAATAGGCTCACTCTTTTTAAAAATGTAATTTATTTTAAACATCAAGGTTGTGAGCCAGGTCAATTCTTAGTGATGATGGCTGTGCTGACCCCATGGCCTCATCTGACCCAGTGCAGGGGACCACAGCTCTGCAGCAGCATGTCTGGAGCACTCCTGGAGCCCTTATTCCTGCACATATGGTGTGTGGGGCCATGGGTGATGTCCCACATCAGCCACTGCTGGCACAGGTGCCTGCAGGTTGCCTCCCCACTCTGGAACAGCAGCAGATCTGGGTGGCTGTCCCTAAAATCCTGGAAACAGCAACTTTGCAGCACTTCTGGTGCCCTGCACCCTGAAAGGGTGTTGTTGTGCCTTGCATAACAGGGACTTAATCAAGGTTATGAGTGTTTATTTATGAAGAGGTTGGCATGGTGTTTGTTTTTCTAACATTCAGTTTCCTGCTCACGTGAAGGCAGCTACAGCAGACAGCTGTGCTGACAGGGGGAACACTGTGGTACCCTTGGCCAGGTGAGCTCCTCAAACCTGACCTTCCCTCCACAGTGAGTGCAGGATGGGGACAAGAAAAAAAAGGAAAAGAAACATCAAAACAAGAGCGAGCAAACATGTGCACTATGGTTTGAAAAGGGCACAGTGAAAACCTGCAGTGGATTTTTTTATGCTTGCTCTCCATTGTTGATTTTCTCCCACACTAGTAAGGATTGGTTTCTTACCAATCCCTTCCTCCTTTTTCCCCTTTTCTACTCCCAGCTCAGCAGTACAGTTGGAGGGGGCGACTCACTTCTCCCCAGGTTAAAGCTTAAGGGACATTTCTGTGGGGGATTTGCAGCTGTGTGAGAGGAAAACCTGTTTCTCCAGGATGCACAAAGCTGGAGGTGGGAAGGCACCCAGTAGCACAGCCCTCCAAACCCTGATTTCACTCAAGCTGCTACAGTAACACCAAAGTCTTGTTACTGTATTTCATAATGAGTTGTATTTTGACTGCTATAGGTGATATATTCTTTAAACATTTTATTGTTTAAACATTTAAACTTCAGGAAAAGGAAAATAACTTGAGAGTTTAAATAAATTTCATAGAGACCAACTTACTTGTAGCAAGGAAATCAAAAGGGGTCCTTGCTTCTGGGATGGAGAGTTAGGCACTGATTTATTCACTTGATCTACTTCATTTGTCCTAAAAAAAGGAAGGAAAGAGACAAGCAAAATTGTGTTTATAAGAAAGAAGTTATCTGGGCCTTTTCAAGCATGCCTGTGCCATTACAGTCTCCTAATTCTCTTTAAGATTAACAAGCCTGAGCCATTGTTATCTTACTGAAAACATAACTAGACACAACAAATATGTCATATGATAATCCCAGTGCAGTGATGCTTTTGGATTGATAAATGTCATTAAACACTTTGCTGGAGAAGTGCACCAAATGTTTCTTCTGGGGCATTCTTGAAGGTTCCCTTTGATCAGGCTCAGCAGAGGTGAGGGTTTCCTGACAAGTGCCAAGTTCCCTGGGCACTATTTACCTTCAGATGAGACATGGGATGAGGGGTTGTCACAGGGCAGGGAAGGACAGACAAAATCGAGTGTTGCAGAGCCTGTGACTAAAAAGAAACTGGCAGGTGCTGGGTGCCTGACCAGAATTTTCAGGGCTCATTTGCAGGAGGCATTGGCAGCAGTGCTGGTGTGAGCTCACAGGGTCAGGCTGGGCTGAGCTGTCTTGGAAGGAGATGGCCCAAGGAAGGGTCTCAAGATGATGCTGAGCCCCCCACCCACACATCAGGTGACATGGGCAGCCTAGAGCACCACAGGACCTCCTGCCTTTTTCACAAAATCAAAGGCACAGGAAAAAGCCCAAATGGCACCCAGGCACTGCCCTCCAGGAAAAGAGAGGAGATGGGCTCATTGCACTGGAGCTGTGGCTCAGCCATTACTCAGCCCCACCACAGGACTCTGTGGGATGTGGGCTCTGCTGCCATGCCAAACCCCCTGTAACACCTCCAGGGAGGCAGGTACCAGACAGTCCTTGCTGTGGGGACCAGGTCCTCACCCTGCTGGGACACAGCCAGGGACACACTGGGGTTCCTGGTGGAATATGTCCTTTTTGGCTGGCCAAAGGACACGAAACATGGCACTTGACTGCAATGGGCAGCAATTTCCAAAACAGAGGGTGTAATACATACTTCTTATTGGTGGTTGTAATAGTCTCCTATTTAATTCTCTAGTCATACAGTTGTCTCAAGAATAAGACACTTACAATAAATTATTTTATATAAAAATGCAGTGTTTAGTGTCTTCAACACGCTTTCTGCTGAAACTGTGAAACTATTCTATTGTGCTCTGTTCTTTGTGATACAACAACACATCCTTGTGATCTAGTCCAACAGCCTGACCACTTCAGGGTGATCAAAAGCCAAAGCAGATTGCTAAGGGCATTGTCCAAATGCCTCTTAAACACTGACAGTCTTGGGCCATTGGCCACCTCTCTAGGAAGCCAGTTCCAGGGTTTGATCACACTCCTGCCAAAGAGGCTCCTAATGTCCAGTCTAAACCTCCCCTGATGATACAGCTTTGAACCATTCCCACACATCCCATCACTGGATCCCAGGGAGAAGGGATCATCACCCCCCTCTCCAGGAAGCTGTAGAGAGCAACAAGATTGCCCTTCAGCCTCCTTTTATCCAAATATTGAACAGAACTGGCCCTAGAACTGAGCCCTGAGGAGCACCACTGATGACCAAACACATGTAGTCCCATTCACTACAACCCTCTGAGCCCTGCCCTTCAGCCAGATTTCACCCAGCCCACTGTAATCCCACTCATCCCACAGCTGGACATGAGCATTATAAATTCACTGCTACACCTTTAATGGATACTACTCAAAAAACTTATCATGATCAGGTGCAACTCATGTACTGTTCATGCACATTTTCACTCAGGTACTAACTGTAATTGCCGTGAATGAAGTCAAGCTCCACTCAATGTCTGTGGGAAAAGTCTTTTAACTATGGCATTAACGGGGCAGAACAAGAGGAACTCACATACATGCGCTCACTCACACGGATGTGAGTCACACATAACTCTGAGACTATGTGATTAAATAAACTATGAAAAAAAGGGGATTTAGTTAATGGCGTCAGCTCTGCTGGATGCCCATGGAAGTTGTTCTCAGGTGTCACAGGGAAGGCTGATTTGAAATCAGCCCTGGACATCCTGGCTGTACTTGTCTGGCCTGGGGGGGTGGCTGAGTTTGCAGTGTTTTGGTAAAAGAGACTCTCTGGAAAAAATATTGATGTTTCATGCCAGCTGCATTGCAGAAAGCTGGTTTTGGGAAGACTTGCTGCTTCACTGCAGGGTGCTGTATTTCTTCACTTACAAAACCCAGTGTATGTTTTACCCATCTGAGACAGGGAGCCAAGTGTGCTGCTGTCCACGGCACTGTAACACACCCTTGGCCCTCATGCTCCAGTCTGAAAGTCTCTTCAGACAAGGCACTTCCCTGTCTGAAGAAGAAGTTTGAACTTCCTTTCCCTGTGATGCAGAGTAGCTGCTGAGGGGGCCAGCAGAGAGCAGAGCCATTACCAGCCCTGCTCTGCCCTTGGCATGCCCAAAGGCCTGGGGAAGGATGAACCCACGCTTGCCCCCACGGCTGCCAGTGTTTGCCTCAGTGGGTTTCTCCTCCATCATGTGGCCACTGAGGCCACAGCTGTGACTCTGGCTGTGGTGTCCCAGCAGACACTGAATCCTGACTGCCCAGCTCAGCCTCGCCGCAGAGAAGCAGGCTCAGACAAAGCCAGGCTCTCCTCAAACAGTGTTTGCCGTGTCATGAGACTGCTGGGGCTCAGCCTTCCTGGAAAAGGGCGCAGTCTTGCATTGGCTGGCGTGGTGTGTGCCCATGTGTGTGTTGGCAGGTGCTGAGCCTGCAGGTGTCCCCCATGCTGCAGCCAGGCAGGTTTTGCTGGCTGCAGTCTCACCAGAAACAGCACTAGGAGGATTTGACACTTGGAGCTGTCTGTGGTTGTTTTCCCAGGCATCTCCTGTGGAGCACTCAGTGTGACCTTCAGTGCAGAGCAAATGCTTGGGCACCAAGGGTTTGGGAACAGCTCAGGGACACCTCTGTGCCCCTCTGTTCTGTGCCAGCTCCCACAGAAACTCCTCTGAAACATCCTGCAGCACCTGTGATGAATGCTATATAGAGCTGTGTAAGGCACCATGGTTGAGCCTGGAAAAGATAATGAAAGAGAAGGACCAGCTGCAAGTGCCCCTGTCCCCATAGTGTTGGGGCTTTGCACATGCAGGGAAGCCCAGGCAGATGAGGGGCTGTGTCTGCACTCTGGCAAGGGGTG